AGAGAAAAAATAAAATAATCACAGTTATTAAACATATAACCTATATTTGACAATGTGGTTCAATTTTCTTAGTCTCAGCTTAACCTAACCTTAAATTTATTTCAATTGTCATAAAATATAACCTAAAATGACAGCTTTTTGAAGTAAAAATAGAAAAAAACTGAAACTATATCAATGTGACTCAATTTTCTGAATCTTAGTCTCACATAACCCCAAATTTATTTCAGCTGTCCCAGAATATAACCTAAAATGACAGCTTTTCAAGAGAAAAAATAAAATAACCAAAGTTATTAAACGTATAACCTATATCTGTCAATGTGGATCATTTTTTTAGTCCCAGTCTAACCTAACCTTAAATTTATTTCAATTGTCATAAAATATAACCTAAAATGACAGCTTTTTGAAGTAAAAATAGAAAAAAACTGAAACTATATCAATATGACTCAATTTTCTGAATCTTAGTCTAACATAACCCCAAATTTATTTCAGCTGTCCCAGAATATAACCTAAAATGACAGCTTTTCAAGAGAAAAAATAAAATAACCAAAGTTATTAAACGTATAACCTATATCTGACAATGTGGATCATTTTTTTAGTCCTAGTCTAACCTAACATTAAATTTATTTCAATTGTAAAATATAACTTAAAATGACAGCTTTTTGAAGTAAAAATAGAAAAAACCTGAAACTATATCAATATGACTCAATTTTCTGAATCTTAGTCTAACATAACCCCAAATTTATTTCAGCTGTCATAGAATATAACCTAAAATGACAGCTTTTCTTGGTAAAAGTAGAAAATAACTAGGACTGTATCCGTCAATGTGGGTCGGTGTTATTGCTTTGCTTTTGAATAGTTTCACTCGAATGGTAAATTGCAGTATTCGTGGCTTGCCACCGGAAAATGCAGCCGCGCGGCTTTTGAAGAAGGGTCGGCGGCGCCTGCCAAGTGTACACAATGGCGCGTTCTGACGGAAAGCTCCTCTGCAACCAATTGCTTTTATTCCGCCGCCGCTCGTTTCGCAAAAGGTAGACGGGCGTCAATTTAACCAAATCGCAAGCGCGCCCTGACGTGACGCGCCAAACTCGCGCGCAAACCCTCTCTCACTGCGCGCTTTCTTTGCGCGCCGAATTATATATGCCATACGTTCCGTCAAAAGAACGAAATGCGCGCAAATCTATATTTTGACAAGCAATTCAATACTTCGCTTTTCTATCGACGCTTATCGCAAATACCCATGATACCGCATGTTAACAAAAAATTAGATTATAAAAGAGTTCAAAGTTGAGGTTAGAGTTGAAGTTGACTTGGTAAGGTTAGATTTATCCTTTGGCGGATTTGTGCTTTCGAGCTTTTCTGATTATGCTTTGTGGTGTCTTTCCTTAGGCAGTAACTCAATCTTTGTGTGTACAAATTAGATTAAATATTAAATTTCTGGCTTTGCTCAAAAGATGCGCGAATCTGTGGCTGCATAAAACGACTTCTTGGGGAATTATAAACACCCAGTGTAGACTGCGTACTGCATCACAGACGGACGCACAGGTAATGCGCATTTGTACGTTTCCATGTTCCATTAGATGCAGAATGTGCGGAATGATGGAAAAGTTGACTTCATCCAAACTTTCCATTCTGAGTAAATATGCAAACGCCCACGCACACGCTGAATGTAATCTATCTTGCTTCAAAACACTTTGCGAACTCAAAAATGTGTTTGACAGTTGACAGTTAGTGTTTACGATGCTTATAAGTGAAGAATGCTTCCAATTTTTATCATTTTTGATTTTTTGAATTTAAAAATTAAAAAATGTCCTTAAAACACAAAAATGTGTTTGGTAATTGACAGATAATGTTACACTGTTAATAATTATTAGGCATTCTTTAATTATAATTTAATTTTTTATTTTTAATTATAATTAAAGAATGCCTCAACCAATTTCGCTGATTTTTGACATTTTGCATTTGTTTTTGTTTCAAATATGAGAATATCTATTAAAATATTAAAATTATTTAAAAAGTAAAAAGTTAATGCCAAAAATAAATTTAGAAATGAGGTTATGTCATTTGACATTGTATTATATCTAAAAATATAATATCTACGCGTGGCAAAATAAATAATAAAAGTTTGGCGTTCCGAAAACAAAAGTTTTATTGTCGCATTATAAAACCCGGCGGGTTTAAAGTTTTTTTTACTTTCGGTGGGCGGCAGAAAAAAGTGAATATACTTGGCGAGAGTAATATATCCTCGAAACGAAATTGGAAATTGTTAAAGGGCGTAAATTGTCCGTATCAAGGCGTGGGCCAGCGGCGCTTAACGGGAACCCTCTCCTGCCCACACCCCTCGGAACAAACCCGGACATGTAATTTCCATTGTGCGGCGATTGCAGGTCCCCGTCGTTTCGAAGTCGTTGCCGAAAACGTAATGAAGCCACATAATATCTGTTTGTTTTGTTTTCGAGATGAGATGATCTCTCATTACGACCTCGTCCGGTCGCCTCCGGGCGACTTCCCGACGTTGTTACCTCCACGGGCACACAGGGTGACCTAGAATGGCAGTAGTTTCGCGGATAAGTGGGCGATTATCCGGTTGAAGCATTCGGCAGCGGGAAAGTTTGTCGCATCTGGTATAAACGTCGATGCGAATTATGAAATTCTCGAAAGACCGAACAACGAACAACAAAGCGCACGCTGCGCTGTTGAACTGTTGTTCTATGGAAATGTGTAGTGGGCAGCACGGGCGCAGGCGGCGGCGGCAGTTCGCTTGTGGTTGTGGCGGTGGAAGGTTACGACGCGCGCGGGTTACGAGGACCATTGTTACCGCTGCGCCCCGCCGGTGTCTGTATTCTATGGTGCTCCTGGACCGTGAATTATTGCACTAAATTTCCGCGTTTCTGGAGTGCTATCTCGCTTTCCTCCCCTTTCACTTCACGGATATTCTTTGCTTCGGGGCCAAGCTTTTGCGAAATCAAATTAATTCATGTTAAATTTCCGACCTATTTTTGTACTAAATCCAGATAAAAACCCTAGATTTTAACCCAATTGGGCGGTGCTTATCACAATAAGATAAAAATAATTACTTCTAATGTTTAAAATTAATTATATTATATAAATTTAATTCAATTTTGTTAATAGTGTAAAATAAGTTGCCTAACTAACAGGGGTCAGTTAACGAAACCTTGCCTAGGAAATATTTTTCTTTCTCCCCTTCAAATTTTCCTACCAATCAATTGTTATTTTAATATTTCAAGCCAGGAGAGCTCAAAAATAAAAAATCATGATAATCTAGCCGTTTTTGAGTTAAACCAACCAAAAATCACATAAATAAGTTGTTTACGCCACCAACCAGAGGGCGCTTTTGTCGAATACACTCGAGTTAACCTGATTCACCATTCTGATGTATGTATGACGGGTCACATACGTTTTCACCGCTGAAAATTAAAAATTTAATAAAATACTATAAATGATTGATTGATGGAGTTACCTAATCGATTTCGGAAGCAAGAAGAAAGTTATTAACTTTTTCCGCACCTAGTCGATTAGAAAAAAGCGCTGTACGCACAAAAAATCCAAGTCACGTCGAATTGAAACCAACTCGGCTCGCATTAAGCGCACACGCTGCCACATTTCTTCATTTCTATAAACATTTCCACGTTTCTTCATTTCATTCCCGTCCCTGATACCCAACAGGCAAAAAGAGAGCGAAACTATCGCGGCCTCGACACTCTAAACCGATAAGCTAAATGAATAGGAGCTGGCTAATTGAAAGGCTTCCCTCGTCAAAGAAATAAAACCGTCGGAGTTTTCGTAATTAGAGCATTGGCAAAGTTACTTTGATATTATTCCCGCACTAGCGCCACGCGTTCCTACCATTCAGTCTCATTTCACGATCTCAATCAGCCGCATTCAACCCACGCATCTTTCGTCCTCCTCGTTCTTGTCGCTCGTTATCCGTCTGCTTCTTATTGTTCCGATGTTCTTCGTGTACTTTAGACTTTGTTATATGGAACGAGGGAACGAGGGAGACGCGCGCGCGTTGAGGAATGAGTGCTTCATTTCGTTCCTTCGTTTCGACCATCGAAGACACGCTTCTGACCGGAATTCAATAAGACAACTAAAGGTTTATTCCTAATCCCATCCGCTCCTTTATGTTCGCTCGTTCCCCTGCAATTCACGTCTTTCTGCGCTGGCGGCGGCGGCAGTGGCGGCGGCGTGCACGATTCACTGCGCTCGTTTCGAACCCCTTGAACGCCTTCGACCCGCCATTCGTGTTATTCCTATCGTCTCTTAGTCCTTGCCTTCCTGGAAGGTGCTTTCCTCGGCGAAAGGTGCGCGCTGCAAGTCGTCGTTTTCTTTCTCTTCCTTTTTCTTTTTCTTCGCCAGTCCCGCAACTTCGCAGTGCGCGACGAAACGGCTTTTTGAGACTTCTCTTATTTTTCTCGATGTTCCTAATGCATACGTATTTATGTAGTGGTGTTCGTTCGATTCCCGGCTTGTTCTTATTCCGGCAATTCCGGCAAAACTCGTCCAAGTCACCGGGGTTTTATTTCCGAGTTACCGATCCTTCGACGAAAATCCCTCAGTGTCACTTGGCTTAAGCGCCAAGCCAAAACGTACAAGAAATATTTTTGATCGCTTGCTTTTTTGCTGCCGTATTAACCACCTGCTTCTATCAATTTCAAGTATCAATACGACTAAAACTTCGGAAGCCATTTGCAATAATCTATGCCAATAATCTTTATGCAACTAATTATACATATATTATTCAACAGCTTAAATTAAACTGAATTACAGCTTAATTCTATAATTTTCTCTAATTTCTCATTAATTAAAACATATTATATTGAATAGATGTAACGTGATATGCAGCGTAATGTTGCAACAAACAACAGTTGCTTTGTGTAGCCAATATTTATTCAGTTTTAATACACCTAGCGCCACCTAGTGTCCAATTGGCGAAGTTGTTATCTCCCGCCTTTGTTTTCTTTTGTTGCTAATTTTTGGCCGCGTCACGTCTAAGATCAATTAACAACAAACGTCACACATAATTCGATTGCGCGCATTAAACATTCACAAACAAGCATGCGATCAGCAATATTCATCGCCTAGAATCTCCGTCGTCAAACAGGTTGCGCTCGCGAATCGACACCGTCTGCCCAGATTCCGCTCGCGCCGTCCGTCACTGCGACAGTCCGAGAAGCAACATGGCCGAGCTAAGACAACGTAAACACTTGCCTCCTATTAATACCTCAACAGTCGAAGGTATGTTTAATTAATCGTACAAGACGCGACCGCAATCACACACCGCTTGCAGCTCGGGCCAGCCTGCAATGCAGAAATAGGCTTGTGACGCGTTGAGCGCTGCGGCGGGCGACCCGATTCGCGCAAAGTACGCACAAAGTGTCAAATCATTCAAAATTACGTCTTATTTGGGGATAGACCGACCGATTCTAATTAAGCCAACGTTACGTGAATTCCTCGACGTGCCACAACCACGCGTGGAGCAGCAACAAGTAAGCACAGTCCGGCGTCATCGCTTGGAAAAAACACCAGCGAGTGCGGAAATTACGGGGCGCGCGCTGCTTGCTCGAACAAAAATAGCTCACTTTTGCACCTTGGATGTGATAGCTTCTTTTAAGGCCATCCATATGTTAATTACTCATTATATAGCGCTGATTTTTTCTCTCGACAGACATCGTCATGGCCAGCATGAACAACAATAAGCCACATGCAATACAGATTGTCATTGCGAATGATGATCACACATTCTCTTTGGATGAAGAAGCACTGAATAATGTGCTGCTCAGAGAGGAGATCCGCGATCGTACTGTGATTGTGGTATCGGTAGCTGGCGCCTTCCGGAAAGGAAAATCATTTCTGTTGGACTTTTTTCTTAGATACATGAATGTTAAGGTTAGTTATTCCATCATTTTGCTGCGAAAACAATAATTTTTCACGTTTTACTTTTAGTATGTGAATAATGAGAATGGTATGGATTGGTTAGGACCTCAGGATGTACCTTTGGAGGGTTTTTCATGGCGTGGTGGTTCTGAGAGGGAAACAACTGGCATCCAAATGTGGTCTGAAGTGTTTTTAACAGAATTAAAGTCAGGCGAGAAGGTAAATAACTTTTTAAATACCAACTTTTAGTTATTTTAAATTTATTTATGTGTAGGTGGCAATAGTTCTCCTTGATACCCAAGGAACATTTGATAGTGAATCAACAGTGAAAGATTGTGCGACTGTTTTTGCCCTCAGCACAATGATCAGTTCAGTACAAATCTACAACTTGTCACAGAATATCCAGGAAGATGATTTACAGCATTTGCAGTTGTTTACTGAATATGGTAGATTAGCACTGGCTGATTCTGGTAAGATACCTTTCCAGAGGCTGCAATTCTTAGTCAGAGATTGGAGTTACCCCTACGAAGCTGATTACGGCGCGTCCGGAGGCAAGAAAATCTTAAACAAACGCCTTCAGGTTTCGGACAAACAACACCCTGAATTACAATCGTTGCGGAATCACATTCGGTCTTGTTTTTCGGAAATCGCCTGCTTTTTAATGCCGCATCCTGGTTTGGATGTGGCTACAAGTCCTTCATTTGACGGAAGATTAAAAGGTAAATATTTTTTCTTAAAAAAGTAATGAAATCATTTTAACTTATTTTTTGTTCAGATATATCCAGTGAGTTCAAGAAGCAATTGCAAGTGCTGATACCAATGATCCTAGCGCCCGAAAACCTAGTCCAGAAGCAAATCAACGGACAGAAGGTGAAGGCCCGTGATTTGGTGCAGTATTTCAAGTCGTACATTCAGATCTACAGTGGCAATGAGCTGCCGGAACCGAAGTCAATGCTGGTGGTACGCATGATTGATTGTTGTGTTGATTGTTGAAGCGTGCGTGCATTCACGTGTTTTGTGTTTGATACAGGCCACTGCCGAAGCCAACAACCTCTCGGCGGTCGCCGACGCCAAGGACGTGTACATCACCATGATGGAGGATGTTTGCGGCGGGGCGAAGCCGTACATGAACACTGCCACCATCGAAGCGGAGCATCGACGTGTCAAAGATAAGGCTTTAAATCAATTCGCCAGCAAGCGGAAAATGGGCGGGGATGAATTTAGTGAGAAATATAGGGATCAGCTTGAGCATGTAAGAGTTAAAAACTTTTTAAACTTTAAAAAAAATTTAATATTTTTGGATTTTTTTTAATAGGATCTTGAAGAAACATTCAATCAGTTCAAATCGCACAATGAGAGTAAGAATATCTTCAAAGCAGCACGAACGCCCGCAGTTTTCTTTGCGATTGCTGTGATTTGTTACTTTGCTTCGGCGATTTGCGGTCTGTTTGGCATCTACTCAATCGCGAATCTATTTAACATGGGAATGGGCGTTGCATTCCTTACACTTAGTCTGTGGGCGTACATAAGGTAATGAATTATTATTTCAACTGTTTCAACAACATATTTAACGTATTGCTATGTTTAAAAATTAGGTATAGCGGAGAGATGCGAGAACTTGGAGTGCAGATCGACGAAGTGGCGAATTTGATATGGGAAAACGTAAGATTCATCATTTTTCTTATAATGGCGTCGATTGCGTTGCATTTTACCGTTACATCTTGGCATTCAATATTTAATCAAGACACAACTTAATATTTATTAAATTCTTACAATTTTTATGGTGGCATTTTATTATTACATATTTCTTTAAAAGTATAAATAATTCACGTTAAAATGGCACCGTAAAAGTTGTATTATCATAGTTTATTTAGTTTTGACCAAGTTGCCAATGGTAACAATAAAATATTGACGACAATTTGTTTACTTTTCGTAAACAAGTCTAAAAACTTTGTCTGTGTTTATATATGACTAATGTGTGGAATTTTTGCTCAGCATGCTTACTTTAAAAAACGAAAAGCAAGGAAGCGTATGTATAACAACAACAATTAATAATGAATCATTGATTTATAAAAGTATTCAGCTAATACAGCTTGAAATCACGTGTGTTTTGTGCGTGCGTGTGCAAATAATACACAATTTGTTCTTGTTCTGTTGTAGAGAGTAAGTGTTTGTTTGTTACGACCTAGTCACCAAGTCAAATACGAGTAGTCGTAAGTAACAACAACATAACCTATACAAATCTAATTCTTTGACTTAACTTCAAATAGATACACTTATAACCTATTATTAGCTGAATACTTTTATTAACTTGTGTGGTGGTACTTATATCTTAAGGTATAAACAATAATTTGTTCGATTTGTATTGAAATATTGACTTTTTCTAGTTAATGAAGCCCGTATATCAAAATTTCGTAGAGACAAGTATGCAACAGATGGCTGTGCAAGTAGCTGAAATGGCGGCGAACAACGCGCAGAAGTCACCTGCGCACACCAGGAACGGAAAAAGCCATCAGACATGATCGCTGCGGATCTCTAACGTGTCCAACACACCCACTCTCTCTTTGTTTGCCCGTTTTGTCGCCTATCTCTCCTGTCCACGGTGTACACGCAACAAACGATACAAATTCTATTCAAATGACAGTACAATTTCCCCCAACCGAACAATTCTTGAACCCATACTAAACTTAAGGCTAGCTACTGAGATGCGATTGGCTATATATTTCAGCTAGCGAACGGGATGAGAACAAATTACGACTTAATTTACCTCGATTCATCTTGACGATCTTGAAATTCACGCTCATCTTGTATATTCGTTTGTTGTTTTTTTAACTTTTAAAGTGATTAGAATGTAATTTTATGCGTCATTACAACTTGCCGACGTTTTTGTGGGTGATGATTAGTTTTGGATTGTTGTTTAATCTTATTTACGTGAGAAAAAAAAGGGTCATAGGACTACCCAAAGCAATACAGAATACATACAAATGTTAACAAATAGAAAATTTTAAAGAGAGAGCCGGACATTATTCTAATATGACACAACTACACGGTTTTTGGGATAAAATAATTTTATGTATGTTAATTGTTTTAAATTTAGTTCGTAATTCTTACACTTGCAGAGTTGCCATTTCAACTAACACGATCTAAAGCCTCTTTCTCTTTGTTTATTTATATAGTCTATAATTTTCTGACTTATTTAACTCTACTTAAAATAAGATCATTCCGTTGTTGTTGTTTTCTCTTTACGTTTACGTGTAGTTTATTTGCTCATTTACAAACGACGACCATGCGGGGCGCACACTAACGAAAAAAAGGTGTTTGGGTGAACGAAACTTGTGATTTCGATGGGATGACTAAAATATTTATGATGTGTTAGTAGGTTTAGATTATGTTCTTTTGCATTTAAGTTGGATTTTTGATTACACATGTTAGATACTTGGTGAACTGTGAATTTTGGTTTTGTATCTCGATCAGGCGTTTAACTCCGGATTGTTGATGATGAAAAATTGATTGATGAACAAAATGCGCCATCAAAATTTTATTGTGAAAATTTGTATGTCGACCATTTGTGTTTAGTCAATTTGATTGTTATCGTGTAATTATAATGGCCAAATGTAATAAGATTTTATTTCATCTGTGAGATTTGTTAATGAATGCGATAGCTTTTTCGTGTAAATAAATAAACGATATTTTTAAACTGCGTGATACTTATTACAACATACATAACCCGTCCTTGTAAATCCAAAGATGATTTGCACAGAAAAGGCTTAGTTATTAATTTTATTGCAATGTGTAATTTCTTATCTAAAATTTGGCGGAGGCGCCTGGCAATTTTTACACCATTTTCAATAATTATTTAAAACAAATGATACTATCGCGTAGAGATGTTATTAATTACCTTCTTTTATAAATGTTTTACTTAATATCATTTACGGTATAGCCTGTAGATACTTTTTAGTGCAACCCGTACTTTCAGCGCTACTTAATTAGCAGATATCTCAGGAACTAATTAAGATAATCAAAAACTGAAAACGGTTTATTATCGAGGGTAAAATTCTACATCAGATAAGATTTTAAAATTTCTAAATAAATTTTGTGAAAATAAATTTTCCGACGCGATTTTCTCGAAAAGTATGAAAGTTGCAGAAAAACCTTTTGCACTTTCTTCATGACGTAACAATAAACTATTAAATGGCAGATTTAGTTTTTCCATTTTCTAAAGTTGACCAAAACCTCCTCGAAAACATCAAGAGGTTCCACTTGACTCTTTTTGGCCTCAAAAATTATTTTTTATGCTAGAGAAAAACGGAAAACGCCAATCGATACAGTTTTCCAATGGGATGAAAGATATCAAGTCAGTTTTTTAATAACATCAATAATTCGGAAAAATCTGGTGAAAATCAAAACTGATGAAATTGAACCACCCTTCCGATTTTCACGAAACTTTCAAAATAGATGTAGAATTATGCAAGGAATCCATTAATCTTGGTTTGATTTCGATGACGTAATTAGTTTTCGAGTTATTGACCATTTTCATTTATTACATAATTGTAGATAATTAAACTTTTTTAAGTGCTCCATAGTGTAAAATTATGCCCTGCATACGAAACTGAAAACAGTTTTTTTATAGCATTATAACTTTGCGAGAAAACTGCAATAAATTGAATTCTACATTTTCCCCATCATTTCTTATGCAAAAAATAAAAATTTGAAAATTAAATTTTTTATTGCAGAAAGTAGAAGAAATTATTTTGAACAATTTATCTTAGTAAAATTTTTTTATCAGACTGATAATTTAGGCAGTATTCACAAAATTAGGTTGAAATTAAAATGTGCAAATTGTGTTTCGACACAAGTTTCGGAGCAAGTTTGTATCAGGATCGCAGAATGCATGAAGAGGTCGATTTATTTTTATGAATCTTCGCAGAATTTCACAAACTTCGTCAGAACTTAAAATATTTCAAAACAATATTATTTCAAACTTTCATCCGGGTAATAAAACAATGAAAGTTTTTAGAAAAATCGTAGGAAACAAAAAAGGTTAGTTAAATTTTAATTCTTATCTTAATTAAAATCATAAAATTTCTGTTTTACTATTTTTTAATAGTCCGACCCTGTCCTTCGAGCAAAAACAATTTTTAAAAATAGTTCGACCCTGTCTTTCAGCCGAAAACAATTCTTTCATACTTACTTGACTTTGACCAAAGAGTTATAGACAATTTATTGCTTTCTACTCTTACTACGTAATTCTATATTTTTTATTCCTTTTCCCTGTAATCTGTAAAGAAAAAGTTCCACTCTTGGCCAACAGCCAATCGTGACGAGGACTCCTCTTGAAGGAAAGGATTGCAAGGTTCAAAATAGAAAATTAAAATGGTTAAGACATTTATTATTTGGTTAACACACTCACAATTTACCATCAAGAGCTTCAAAGCCTACGTGCACTCGCTACGCACAGAATAAAGGAGATTCGAATAAGAAAAGTGAATGATTGCGTTTATTCTCCTCAAATCATGTTTTGGTGTAACTTTGCTCGTTTTAAGAAAAGTATAAAAATCAAATTACAGCCTTGTCAATGAAAGTAAGTAAAGTTACAAAAATCATATAGCAAATAGTATAGCGATTTGTAAATTTCTCGAGTGATTTTATAATAATATGCTCATCGTCCATCTCTACTGTCCACCGCGGAGGCGCAACACCAGATGGAGGGTGGACTCCTTCTGAATGTTGTAGTCGGAGAGTGTGCGGCCATCTTCCAACTGCTTGCCGGCGAAGATCAACCTCTGCTGGTCTGGGGGAATGCCTTCTTTGTCCTGGATCTTAGCCTTGACATTTTCGATTGTGTCAGAGGGCTCAACCTCCAGGGTGATGGTTTTACCAGTCAGGGTCTTAACGAAAATCTGCATGCCACCGCGGAGACGGAGGACCAGGTGGAGGGTGGATTCTTTTTGGATGTTGTAGTCGGAAAGGGTGCGGCCATCTTCTAATTGTTTACCAGCGAAGATCAATCGCTGCTGGTCTGGGGGAATGCCTTCTTTGTCCTGGATCTTAGCCTTGACATTTTCAATTGTGTCAGAGGGCTCAACTTCCAAAGTGATGGTCTTTCCAGTCAGGGTCTTGACGAAGATCTGCATACCACCACGCAGACGCAATACCAAATGAAGAGTAGACTCCTTTTGGATATTGTAGTCTGATAGGGTGCGGCCATCTTCCAGCTGCTTGCCAGCGAAGATCAATCGCTGCTGGTCTGGTGGGATACCTTCCTTATCTTGAATCTTAGCCTTAACATTCTCAATAGTGTCGCTGGGTTCGACCTCCAGGGTGATGGTCTTACCAGTCAGGGTCTTCACGAAGATCTGCATACCACCACGCAGACGCAGAACCAAGTGAAGGGTTGATTCCTTCTGAATATTGTAGTCGGACAAAGTGCGTCCATCTTCCAATTGCTTGCCAGCAAAGATCAACCTCTGCTGATCTGGTGGGATACCTTCCTTATCCTGAATCTTAGCCTTAACATTCTCAATAGTGTCGCTGGGTTCGACCTCCAAAGTGATGGTCTTACCAGTCAGGGTCTTCACGAAGATCTGCATACCACCGCGGAGACGCAAAACCAAGTGAAGAGTAGACTCCTTCTGGATGTTGTAGTCAGAAAGAGTGCGACCATCTTCCAACTGCTTGCCAGCGAAGATCAACCTCTGCTGATCTGGTGGGATACCTTCCTTGTCCTGAATTTTCGCCTTCACATTCTCAATTGTATCAGACGGCTCCACCTCAAGGGTAATGGTCTTTCCGGTCAATGTCTTGACGAAGATTTGCATACCACCACGGAGACGCAATACCAAATGAAGAGTAGACTCCTTTTGGATATTGTAGTCAGACAGGGTGCGGCCATCTTCCAGCTGCTTTCCTGCAAAGATCAATCTCTGCTGGTCTGGGGGAATGCCCTCTTTGTCCTGAATTTTAGCCTTGACGTTCTCAATTGTGTCCGAAGGTTCGACCTCCAAGGTGATGGTCTTTCCAGTCAGGGTTTTTACGAAGATCTGCATACCACCACGGAGACGGAGTACCAGATGAAGGGTAGACTCCTTCTGGATGTTGTAGTCCGACAGGGTGCGGCCATCTTCCAATTGTTTTCCGGCGAAGATCAACCTCTGCTGGTCTGGAGGAATACCTTCTTTATCTTGGATTTTAGCCTTGACATTTTCAATAGTGTCAGAAGGCTCAACCTCAAGAGTAATGGTCTTTCCTGTGAGTGTCTTTACGAAGATTTGCATGCCACCACGCAGGCGGAGAACCAAGTGAAGTGTGGACTCCTTCTGGATGTTGTAGTCAGACAGGGTGCGGCCATCTTCCAACTGTTTTCCGGCGAAGATCAACCTCTGCTGGTCTGGAGGGATTCCTTCTTTGTCTTGGATCTTAGCCTTGACATTCTCAATGGTATCAGAAGGCTCAACCTCAAGGGTGATGGTCTTGCCAGTCAGAGTCTTGACGAAGATCTGCATGCCACCACGCAGGCGGAGAACCAAGTGGAGGGTAGACTCCTTCTGAATGTTGTAGTCGGACAATGTACGTCCATCTTCCAATTGCTTGCCAGCAAAGATCAATCTCTGCTGGTCTGGAGGAATGCCCTCCTTATCCTGAATCTTGGCCTTAACATTTTCAATAGTGTCGGAAGGCTCAACCTCAAGCGTGATGGTTTTACCCGTCAAAGTCTTAACAAAGATCTGCATTCTGTAACAAAGAATGGACGCGTAAGTAATGATCACTCACAACGACGCCATTTTGTTGCGCGATGAACAAAGGAATTGCATCACGCGAGCAATCGATTTCTAAAGACTGCTCGCGTAACTAAATTAAATGCACTGCTTGAACACTGTAGAGAATTTTAGAATTTTGTAGGAAAAATGAAATCAAACAAAGGATGTATCCTGGGTGAATGAAACAAAACTACTGCGTACATGACAAACGAAAATGCATACGAAAGGTCAGAAATTCATACAGATAACGAATGCTATCAAATATTGAATGTATTTACCTGCTTTCTTATCGATTCACTTATTTGAGAAATTATTTTCACCACTATTAATCGCACACCAAAAATTGCTGTTGATCCACCGATGAGCTTCTCTGTTTCACAAACGTATGATGCGAAATACGGAATGTCAACAGTTTTATACCAGGATGTGTTCCCCCTCTATTTTAGTCTCGACGCCCAGTCATGGACCCACTGCAAATTCTCGAAATATTAAAACAAAGACACTTTTAATAGATTTTAAAGAACGATCAAAACGGTTTATATTTTTTTAGATGTTGGGCTGCAATATTTCTGAAATTCAGTGAGGAAAGACCGAGAATTTACGTTTTTAAAAGGTGTAGTTACTAGGAAATAGTTGGCAGCAGTGGGAATCGCCGACAGAAGTTACTAGAATATTCCAGCAAAAACAAATACACAAGTCATGGCTAATCGATACTGCGAGCAGCTGACGAACACATAACAAAAGCAAATGTTTTGTTATGCTTCACAGACGCCATGATTTCAAGCACATTCTAATTAATCCTACAAATTAAAATCATTCGTACATACACACAGGTAATTTTCTTATAATTTTCATAACAAAACACATTTTCGTACTTTTTATTAGTTAAGTCTATTAAAATGACTAATCCGCCATTATTTTGTGTAATTTCTCGAAATTTCTAGTAATTGAAAATTAGAAATATCATTTTAAGTAGTGGGCAGATATTCAGAGACAGTAAACAATATTATCTCTAAATAACAAGCGGCGATAACAACAAAAAGGGGGCACCGACTTGGGTAGTAAATATACATGCATTTTTAACGAAAATTCCGAGGGTTTTGTTCTCTGCGTACATATATTTTTGTTTATCACACGCATCGAGCCAAAGTACGCTGCACATTGCGAATGCAATCGCCTTGGGTCGTCTGAACTGTTTGAACTGCGCTATTTATAACACATCGCATGTTTTTACCTATGAAATCGAGGGGTGAACGTTTTCCAAACAAGAAAAAAAACTGTACACATGTCTAGAAACATGTTATTTTCTATTTTCATCAATCTTTTATCACCTACAGATGAAATTGAAACCGTGAGGGCAAGTAAAGGTGACTGAAGGTCAAACAACATGTCCGACGCTGCGCCATTACAAAAAACAAAACAGTTTTGTTAAATATCGATTTCAGCCATCTTTATTTCGGCGCTCATTTAAGGCAATATCATTATCACAATGTTGGGCACCATTCGTCCATAAAATTGGCAAGATACAAACAGGAATAATACAATGAACAGAAATGTTTATAAACTACAGTCGTGCGACTTAAATTAACGAGTGACACATAACATAGATAGTCATATTTATAGTTACAACAAATAATCTCTTGAGTTATTCAATATAAACATGAGCAATAAGCGCGTAGAAACTAAATTTAAACTAAAACACATTGCATGCCATAGAAATTTATGACAAGTTATAAAGTTTTAGTTTTTACACACACACAAGTGACCATAATAAGAGTATATTACACGTTTATCTGTACAATTTGAACATATTCTGTGTTCTGTGTACAAATAGTAACGCTACGTGTCACTTTAATAACAACAATGATAATTAATGTACCGTCAGTGCTAGAAATCGCAGTGATTTCGCAAAACATGCAAAATTCTCGACCAGTTAGTGTTTACAGTCTAGTCTAATAACGCATTCTAGTTCCGCAAATATTTACAAAACATGTTTTCATAAAAAATAGCTCTGTGTAAAATAGCAGTGACATTTTTTAGGTATCACAATGTGTTTAGATCGCGTCGGACGCGCGTTTTAATTAAAAATATTTAATTTAACAGCGTAGAAAGCCAGCGCATACACCGTGAACAAAAAATTAACGTTACATCACGTTAATGTAAGTTTATAAATAAAGAAAGCACAAACAATACAGATATGATTGTTACGAATTGTAAAACCATTGGAATATATCCATAAATGGTTAATTTCTAGTGTGCGCGGCTTTCTTATTGCAAGGCGTTTGAATTTTCGTCAAAAATTTGTCATTTTTGGCTGCTGCACGCAGTGTCGTCATTGCGATAGGCCGAATAACTTCAGCGCATTAAAGGCGGTTGCCAGCGCGACTTCATCGGGCGTCTTATTCATAAACGCCGCAATCATTTCCACTATCGCTGGCAATGAGCACGGCTCGTTGCGTTGGAACGTACAATACCGATGTAGAAACGTCATCGATCTAGAAATAAACACACACATAAAACATTACTATTATTTCACAATATTTCATTTTTCTATTTGCAACATTCGGTAGCGCGATAGCGATAAACACTTTGCGCCTGTGTGAAATTTGAACATGTGCCAAGTTCATGACGCAAAATTACTACGAATATAGATTATCCCAGCTAGAATTTCGCCGCGCAAACGCCGAAATATTGCATTCGCGAATAAACCCACTGATTTTCACGCTTTCTTCGAATTAATACTTTAATTAAAACTATTTATACCTTTCAGTCAGTCCGTCCTTAACATGCACCGGCAATTTTGATGCTCGCGTGTTCGGATACATGAACGGCGCATCCGTTTCCACCAGCAAACGATCCAAGGGTATCAGATTATCGACGAGCAGTTTTCGCACGCCTGTGTCTGATTTATCTTTGCATAAATATCCCGTCAATCCTAAATAATAGCCTCTATCTAGATAGTTCATCGCCTGCTCGGTGGTGCCGGTGAAGCAGTGGATTAACACCGGCGGCAGGCGGTCGGTATACATTTCTAAAATGTTGAGCACATCTTCGTGCGCTTCTCGTTCGTGGACAAACAGTGGTTTTTTAAGTTCACATGCTAAGTCTATCTAAGAATAATTTAAATTAGTTTGATTATTTTGTTGGGAATGATTATATTACTTGTTTTTGAAGACTTTTCTTTGCTCATCAGGCTCTGAAAAGTTTCGGTTGTAATCTAAGCCACATTCACCTATTGCCACACATTCTGGATTCTTTGCCACTTCTTTCAGTTCTTCCCAGCCTTCTTCTGTGTAGGATTTTGCATCATGCGGATGTATTCCTTTTTAAAAACAATATTTTAGTCTTTTAATGTATGATTTTGTTGATGGTTTTATACCTGCTGTTGAATACAATGTGCCAGGGTAAATCCTAGTCAATCTGAGGGCTTCTTTACTGCATTTCACTGATGTACCAGTTACCATTATTTTTTGAACTCCTAAAAACAATTACAGTTCACTCTAATGTTACTTTTATTTAAATTTATTAAATATTTACCAGCATCTTGAGCCCTTTGAATCACAGAGTCCAGATCTCTGCTGTATTTCTTGTTTGTTAAATTCGCACCGACATCGATAACAATCAAATTTTCGTAGCACTTTTCCATAGATTTTTGTTCTTCCATGATTTTAAATGGGCTGTTGAAGTAGCAGCAGGATTTACGATAGTGTTCAAAGTACTCAAAGGTTAACAATGTGTATCACTGATTAAAACTAATTGATTGTCTGATTGTGACGTGCGATTGTAAATAAAGCGATGCGAGCGAACATACTGTCGCAAAAATTGTGGACCTGTGGCTGGTAGCTGGTATGCAGTGAGCAGCAGGATTAGCAGGAAAACAGTGAGCAGTGAACTTGTGGAGCGACAGTTCGTGGTAGTTCGTTACACCCGAACACAAACAATATTATAGGGGGCAGCACCTTATACGAATAGATATACAAACAGATTTGAAGACCGTAATAGTTTATAATTATGTTTCTGCTAGATAAATATTGATTTCAAATGGAAATTGATTTTAAATGAAGCCATTAATACATTTTACATACTTTCAAGTTTCTTTGTGTTCAAAATAGCTTAAATTTAAGTAAATATGTTTACTTATAAGTTAATTCTGTTCAAATCTTTGAACACACAGTATCTGATTACAAACTGAATACAAATGAAAGCATGTGAAACTTTTACTTGCTGTCAATCAAATTCTAACCCTACAATAGTTTCAGAAGACCGTAAAAATAATTGTTCATTTTTAAATAAAAATGGGTAAAAGATCGAAGGACAAGCGTGATATTTATTACAGAAAGGCAAAGGAAGAAGGATGGCGTGCTCGAAGCGCCTTCAAACTGATGCAATTAGCTACAAACTATAATTTATTTGAAGGTTTTAATTACTTACAAAAAAACCAACTACAAAAAGTTAATTTCGCTTTAAAATAATTTAGGTGTTACCAAGGCAGTTGACCTATGTGCTGCTCCAGGCAGCTGGTCACAAGTCCTCTCCAGGTATCTCTACATTGGAGAACAATTGGAAGAAATGCAAGACAAATACAACAAATGCGCCCACTATGAACCAGAAATCAACGATAAGGTAAAAATTGTTGCTGTAGATCTACAACCAATGTCTCCTCTGCCTGGAGTCATTCAAATCCAGGGCGACATTACTAAATATAGCACTGCACTTGAAATAATCCGCCATTTTGAGGGAGATCATGCTGATTTAGTCATTTGTGATGGTGCACCAGATGGTAAAACAATAAAAACTAATACATAATCAATTATTTTATCATATTGATTCTTATTAGTGACTGGATTGCATGATATGGACATTTATATCCAATCACAACTTCTCTTGGGTGCACTGCACATTTGCTGCAATGTGTTGAAACCTGGTGGGAAGTTTGTTGCCAAAATATTCAGAGGCAAACAGAATAATTTGCTGGTGTGTCAGTTTAAAATGTTGTTTAAGAGTGTGCAGATTTGTAAACCACCAAGTAGTAGAAATTCCAGTGCTGGTAAAACTTTTGATTAATACTTTATTTTTATAAACAAATTTTTTTATAATTAAATTTCAGAGGCTTTTATTATTGGGACAGAGTACAGTCCACCAGAAGGATTTGATCCTAAAATGTTGACAAACTTCCTGGGTGTAGATTCGTATAATTTTGATGCATTAACTGGCGTTAATAGGAAAGTTATTCCTTTTGTTGTTTGTGGAGATTTAAGTGGATTTGATTCTGATGCTACTTATCCTTTAAATGTAAGTTTAAGAACAGAATTTAATTAATTTTATAAGTTTTTGTGGTAATGCTTAATGTTTTGTTAGAAATTTGCCTAAATTTTTATGTTTTTATGCGTAAAAGTTAATAATTCATAAACTAGTATTAAATTAATTCTAAAATTTCAGTTAGATGGTGAAGATTATGAATATGTACCACCAGTTCAACCACCACTACAAAAAGATCAAAACTTCCCCGAAGTTTCAAAAGTTTTAGAATCCAAACCTCAAGAAGTCAACGTCCAGCCACCAAATGATATTTTCGTAGTAGAACTCTCAACCAACGACGACGATGTTTTAGCTGCCCTCGACGATGTTAAACCGAATCCTTCCTATTTAGAAGATTGCAATCTCCTCGACGATTTCAACCGCTTAACTCTTCTTGATAACTTTGTAAATTCCACAGAATCATGCCACCATACGCCACATCTACAACAACATCATGAGCCTAAAGTACGTTATGTTGAGCAAAGTGTGCATGTGATAATGCACTTACCCGAATGCCGCCTGGAAGGCGAAGGTGTTTTAATCCCTGAAGAAGTTCCCCAGCCGAGTTCCCCCACGCCTGCACGCAAGCGGCGATTAAAAATCGTCGAGGAATACACTACATTCAAAAACGCGGATGATGACAACTTCTTTTCTGACTTGGAAAAGCTGTATGTGAAGTATTTCGATGAGGCACCGCACAAAGAGTTCGAGGATTTCGATTTTGACTTTGAGAAGCTGCAGGATGAGTTTCAGTTCGCGGCGATGGAGTGCCAATGCGGGGAGTGTTGTGCTCAGAAACAAATGTAGCATAATACTGCAATATTTTTAGGTTTTAGGTTTTATTAATACATAATTGTGAATTATTTTTGTGAATGAAGCTCTTTAAGAATTTGATTCTGGTAATTCTGAGCGCGTTTTAATTTATACACTGGTTTCTTTCCGGTATGAGGTGGACGTTTTCCTGGTGGTTTGTTAACATGCATGCCTTTTTCAATTAATTGTTGAGCAGTGCAGCCTTCAGGAATGTGTACATAGCGAATATTGCGGCTTTTTACGTAGAACGTTTCAAACGGGAAGAAATCACCTGGAAAATTATACTTGGAGGTTTAGAAAGTGATGTTTGTTGTGAATAAACATTACCTCTTGGATTTTTAAATACGCATCTATCAAGCTCAACATCCATGAATGCAGTTACTTCTTTAATTCTGCCATAAACTGCAGATTCATTTCTTAAATCGATTACTGTGTAGTTATCAATGAGTCCTCGCAAAACTGATGATAGTGTTTCGCGAAAATAGTATGTCTCGCGTTTATCGCGAAGTGTAATCGCCATTATTTGTTTAAACAAATTTTTCTTAACTGATTATTAAGTTTTAGGTTAAGTTTAACAGTTAAAAAAACAGCAAATAGCTATCAATTTTGGATAGAGATTTATAAGAAAAATATTTTGGTATAAATTAGTAATCTATCAGTCTTAATAAAGTATCAACTTATATCTTTTATTGTTTAAAGCACGAAAATATAATTTAAATAAAATATTCGGTCCACTGGTTGCCTAGATTCGCAATCGAATAAATGTGACATTGAATTAATCGATTTTTGAATTTGTTGTAATCTGCGGTGCGCTGATAAATAATGTGCGCTAAAGTTACCTCCCGCGACTTAACTTATTAATTTTAAACAACTATTTGTACTTATTACGCTTCTTAATTGCTAAATTATGATAATTTACTTATAAATATAGCTTCACCGTTATGTGGAGGTTAGAATCTGATTAATCCTGGTTTCCGCACAAAAACTTGAACAATTAAACGTGAAATTAAATGAATTAACGGCTTATAGCCATTGAGTACCTCTGGTGAGTACTTATCTTACCATTTATGTTGATATTTCTTGTGAATCAGGGTTTAACTTGTAAAATACTGTCATTTAAGTCAAGAATTTATTGCATCAGCAATGTGGAAGTATCTTGCTGGAACAATTGCAATTGGCACAGTTACTTATGGATTAATGTAAGTGGCATAAGTGCTAATTGTATCAGTGATTAGTTAATGACATTGCAGGCGCTATTTTGCTGGTGGTGTCTGTCAGTGTAGCACTCGACTGGATGGACTTGTAATTGTGATAACTGGAGCAAACAGTGGCATTGGAAAAGCCCTTGCATATGAATTAGCTAAAAGAGGCATGTATATTAATATTCAGCAGCTAAATTTTTGTTTATACTTATATTAAATTCTCAGGAGCAACATTAATCTTGGCCTGCAGAAACATTGAAAAAGCAGTTGACACAAAACTAGAAATTCAAGATTTACTCAATAATCAGGCTGAGATTCATGTGAAGCACTTAGATCTGAACTCATTTGACAGCATTAAAAGCTTTGCAGATAATATTGATAAGGAATTTGATGAGATTTATGCACTTGTTAACAATGCTGGTGTATTCTACCATCCACAAGCTTTGACAAAGGATGGTTTTGATGTAACATTCCAAACTAACTACTTAGGACCTTATTACTTAAGTCACCAATTACTCAGGACCCTCAAGAGGTCTGATCATGCAAGAATAATTAATGTTGTGTCAGATGCTCATCGGCTAGTGAATGTTTATGACTTGAATTGTTTAACAAACAATCAAGGAGAGTTCCGGACACATTTTATTGCTTATGGTGTGTCTAAACTTGCATTGATATTATTTTCCAGAGAATTTCCTAGACGCATTACAGGTATTACATATTCTAACCTAACTTAACCTATCCTAATTTAAAATGATTTAATTTTAGATACAAATATAATTGTACACGCTGTAGATCCAGGAAACGTTGAAACAGCAATTTATCGTTACTTTCCGCAGCTGAACAACCACTGGTTGTACATAATTCAGTGGCCAATTCGAAGAATTGTTGTTAAGCGACCGAATCAAGGTGTGCAACCAATCTTACACGCGTTGCTCACCTCGAATCGTTCCACAGGACAATATATCAAGGACTGCAAAGCTGTCCTGCCAAGTGCAATCGCCTGCGACGATCGAATCGCTCGTAAATATTACAAAACCACGAAAGAGTTAATCCGCAAGCATCTCACCGAGTCAGAATGTTGACGACGCTCCAGCTCAATTGGCGCTCGCCGGATGGAAGGTTCGAGAAGCAAATTATCAAGCGCGGAGTTGCCGGTACAAACAAACCCACAGAACGTGCAAAATGCGCATATTTAATTAACGACACAAAAAACAAAAGCGAATTGATCATAGGTTTTGAAAACAGCGACTTTGAACGCAACATCTCCATACTTTTGCAAACAATGTGCACAGGGGAAGTTTCCCAATGCAAAGCACCACATAATGACAACTTCAAACTGAAATTAGTTGAGTTCCAATCCGCAGGGATGATTTACGAATGGCCGGCTGGTGTTAAACATAATCTAGCGCAAGAATTAAAAACCGCGGGGAATGCAAACGTGAAAAAAGACGAGTTTAATGAAGCGGGTTATAAATATCGTAAAGCGTTGAAATATTTGCTTTCGATACCTATGGATGTCGAACATCCGCCATCTGTGGTCGACGGTGTTACTATTGCGGAGCTTACCGAGCTCAAAGTGGCTTTGTACAATAACCTAGCACTGTGCGCGTTCAAATCCAGAGAGTACGATCGCGTGTTGAGGTTGTGTGAGAAGTGCCTTGATTTGGACACGCGCAACGTGAAAGCGACGTATAAAATCGGCGAATCACATTATTTTCTTGGTAATTATGAATTAGCGATGAGTAGTTTTAAGGAGGTGTTGAATCGCGAGCCGCATAATCGCGCCGCGTTTGATTATGTGCAAATGGTGCAGGGTAAGATCAAGGAGGAGAAGATTAAGTATAACGAGATTGTTAAGAAGATGTTCCGATAGTCGGTTGTAGATTTTTAATTATTAAGTGTATTTAAAATAAATGTCTGTTGTATTCATTGAAGGTTATAGATGTCAGATGATGTTAATAATATTAAATTATATTCAAGATTTATGCTGGCATCGTTCGTAGAGAAATTGGCAGGAGGCCAGGGATGTTCCAATCAACCACAATGCTAAGATTCCTTGGATGTGCGCCATTGTTAACGGTTGAGTTATTTTTGTTTCAGTGAATTCCAGTACTAGTTGAGCTTTGTAGTTTCCTTCACGGAGCATCTGAAACACATAAAATTTATTGTAATAAGTTAAAAACCGATTTTTTTATGTATATCTATGTCCACAGGTCATATAGAGAGGTTAAGTGGAGGGAAAACACTTTCCGTGTGCGAAAATCGATCTTAAGACCCAATAAGAGAGGAAAAGGAACCTTGGAAGCTGCGACTGGATTGCTGGAAGATTCAGGCACGACTGAGGGCGGTGTTCTTTGCGCCCTGCTTTTTATTCCTTCGGGCAACCCGCTAATAGTGGTGGGGGTAAGACGCAGCTATCTGGCTACTCGTGCGTGACTTAATAAGTCATTTACAAGCGAAAACCTGTAGTTAGGAGTGGGAGAACGTTAAGTCACAAGTTCAGACATATTCTCCTCTTGTACTCCTCATAATTGTGTACCAACTACTAAGGTGACCCTAACATTACAACATTTTATACAATTATCTTTACCTCGTGTTCCCAATATAGTAACAATCCACTCTCCATAACATTTAACAAATGCATCTGCAGTGTCTCCCTAAATACCGAGTGTTTCTGCACCATGAAAGCCGTATACACCCAAAACAAATCCTCTGACATTGCTGTAAACTTCACCAGATCCTCCGCACGCATCGTTGGGTTCAAAATATACCCCCTTGCGAGTTTCTCAGTCAATAAACCAAATTTCCCTTGATAAAAGCGTCGAATTAGCGCTTGATCATCATCGACAGCTTTAAATCTTGATAATAACTTGTAATAAGTATAACCAGGAGTACTTGTCAAAGATTCAATATAAGTGACATGTGGTGCTCCCCAATTATATCCACTGTCTTCGAGGTCCTGGACAGTTTTAACTACATTCTCGTATTTTGTCTCTTTTAGAGCACTGTATAATTGACTAGTGTAGGCCGTTGCTATCACAAGCGTGAATATTATGAAGATGATTAATATTTTGCGAATTGTTCTCTTGAATTTAGTATTTTTGAAGTTTGAGAGAAGATACTTTGTTGGAGAGTAATTGCTAGGATTAAAAACACACAGTATGATATCTCCACACTGAAAAAACAAACAACGTGAGTTTTAAACGTAATGGAAGTTGTTGTTTGTTATTGTTACCTTTGATGATGCAATGTAACGACGCATTTAGTAAGCAATGAAAATATTATCATTGTGGCGATTATAATCAACCAAACTGCTAAAGAAAAAGACTGCAGGACGATTTTCATATTAATTGCAACACTGAAAATTTATTGCGAATATTGAATATTTTTGGGGATTATTAATATTTACCTTGGTTTTGGGACTAAGCAAGTTATTCCTAAGCGGACTGTAGGGCCCACAAAGTCGACGTATTCTAATTTTCGTCCTTGCATATAAAAACCACCTGTAATGTAAAATTTTAAACATTTTTAACAATTTCTAGGCGAATGTGGTGCTAAGAAAAGCAAAACATTCGTTTGTTTAACTTTTAGTTCTTTCAAATCTTGATCATCGACTTTTTCTACTTTTTCCACGGTTTCAAAACACAAAAAGTACTTTAGTCACGAGTTAGAATTTGCCGTATGTGATTTCGAGTGCGTGCGCGAACTCCCAAGCATTGAATAACCTAACTCGTAGATTTCCCAGTTTTGTGCGAACAAAGTTCAAGGTTTTAAAATAAAAAGTTTAAATACAAGAACTAAACGTGGAAATATAATAAAAATATAAGAAATAGTGTACGCTAAAAATGGTTAAAGTGTCTTTAAATGGCTAGATTAATACTTACCTAAAGTAAGATCAACATCACCAACTGAAACCCACTTTAAAGGACCTCGATCCGACGCGTTACCAAAAACTTCCCCCCATTTATCTTTACTCACAGTTAAATTACATACAAATTGATATTTTACGCAGTACTCCAATAGAACTTGAAGTTCAAGCCCTTTATTTTTCTCTAAAAACATATTTACTAACTTAAACAACAATTTTTCTTCAAAATTATAACTTTTTACCAAGATTTACATAAGTTCCATACGTAAACGCCGCATAATTCAACACTAGTCCTTTCTGCAACTTATCCGAATATAATTCTGGTAATATTTTCACATTTTTACGAATCACAGCCATTTTTCTTCATAATCACTCCAATTTTGAAAACTATACTCAAAGATTGTCTTTTCATTTAATTTGGAACTGTTATTTAACATTGGTTTAGTAACTGTCAACGTTTTTTGCATCTTGTTTACACTATCAGTTATATTTACAAGAATCACTTGGAAAACACGCAATAATTTCGTAGATTCCAACAGGTTTTCCTTAAATCCATCTTGTGACGGATAAAACAAGTATCACCGATTGTAATATTTTGTTTCTGTAGCTTTCATGAGCATGGATTCAATAATTTCAAACATTTTTAATGGATAATCACTTTGCACTACGAAATTTCGACAGTGAAACTTATTAATGTTTATATTTGATAAATTTTTATCGTTGTAAACATTCAAAATGTAATAATCTTGGTTAAAATTAGTTAAAACCTCGTGGTTTTGATCGAATAACCAAAAACACGTGCTTGTTGTGAAATACTCTCGCAGGATAATAGAAATAAACAGGTTTAAAGGACTAAATTTTGGCAACCCAATCATGTTCTTTAATTTTTAATGTTTATAATAAAAAAATTTTCTTCGTGTTTTAAACCCTGAGACGTCTTGTGATGAACTCGTAGTAACATAAGTTACAACTGCATTTATATCCAGTGGAAATTGTTATTGATTCATTAGCGATAATTAGTATTAAACGATTGGGCTATACGACTAAACTAATGTTTATTGACTCTACTTCCATGACTTATGCTACACACTAATGTTTTCCCCAGTGAGTTTCATAAAGTAGTAGTAGTGTTTTTAATTATAATAAATCGTGTTCAACATGTGCGTGGGCCATGTTTACTCGCGTGATTTTACACGGCCAGACCACTCGCAATGCGAGTTGTGTAGCATGGTTGGGTGGTCATGGTTGATTGGACACAATGTACTCTATAATATTAGAGATGCACATCGCACATGCGATTGTTGTTTTTGTATTGATCGGCGGTATTTAAGGAAGGAAGGGCTTTTACGCTACGGTTTTAGAAGCTAATGAATGTTTAACGTAATAATATTTATTTATGTTAATGTTGGTTTTTTATGTGAAAGTGAAAACTTGATAATATGGGTATTTTTAGTAATTGTATGGTGTGTATCGCATGTTAGTATTCCTATTGCAAAGTACAGGATGTATAACAGGTTATTTTGATGGGAAATGACTTATTTTTTAGTGTTTTGACTTCGTTTTGTGGTTATTTTCGAAAAAGGTGCAAAACACCCTGTATCTCCTGAACATACCTAGCAATTTATAAAACATCTATCATATCACAATTCATCATACATATTGTTAATATTTTAAATAATCATATATTGCTTCCGATTTACTAATTATATTTTTAATTCATGACGTTTTCTACGTTTGAACCGATGCACTTCAAGTAGAAAACTTATAAAACTGATCGTGATTCCTATGACCCAGATTAAAAACAGCCCGTAAAGGTGATGAATTTGTAACTTGACAAGCGTATCGTCCTTGGGTGGATTTTTCAAGGATTGTTGCACATTGTAATTCATGTGATAGATGTTGACCTATAAATATAAAATTACTTTTAGTTTTAATTAAAAAAAATAAGCAAAAAATTCATTAAAATCAATGATTATGATATTCTAACTCTATTCAAAGCAAAATTAATATTTATTTAAATTATTTACTTCACCTCTACTTCCCAGTAATACAACAACCCAAACTCCCACACTTGCAAAAGAAACAAATCAAAAGATGGCAGTAGAACAGAACTTTTTCTTAATTGCAGACATGTGTATTGCCGATAAAGATCCGCCTTCATTGCTCGATACTTATGAATAACATCTTGACGTAAATACGACCCAACGGCATAATATCCTGTTTTAAAACAACAAATTAATCATTTTGGTTGTTTTATTTGATTTTATTTTTATAATTACCAGTAATTAATCTTTCCATCCCGAAGGCAAAGTTGCCCTTTAACGAATATCCCGCAGGGCGTCATCATCTGCGACGCGAAAGTTTTTGTAAACGATTTCGTACGTCGGCTGCGGATCATAAATCAAATTAATGATCATCGAATTGTGTATTCGTATAACAAACATCACAACTAACAAAAAACAGAATGGTAGATGAAAGCAGTGAGTGAGTGGTGTGCTGAGGTTGAAATATGTGCAGGTATCATTTTGGTAAATAGGATAATTACGCGTTCGTCGACTTCGAGTGGCAGGACCCAATCGATGGCCAATTCACCCCATAACACGCCACTCTGCGCCAAATCATCGACGGTGCTTATTTCACCCTCGTAACTGCGACAATAAAGCTCTGCATTAATCATATGATTGTTGATTTCACTAATGGAAGATGTATTATTCTCATAAATGAGATGTTATATAATATAAAATAGAAATCCCTACTAATAGTATAAATGCGAAAGTCCTGATGTTTGTTACACTTTCACGCAAAAACTACTTAACCGATCATCATGAAAATTTGTACACATATACTTAGTGGTCCCCGAATGGTTATAGGCTACTTTTTATTTAATAAAAAAATTATTTTTTAAATAAAATAAAGAAATTGTTTAGCCAATAATACCTCTGCATCTGGCTATTTGACTACTTTAACGCCATCTAGCATTCCAGCAATGAAGCTCAAACCTAAGTACTATAGTACCATCACACTGTATTATCACACTGTATTACCGACAGCTACGTCAACATCAAATCCAATTGACTACACTATGGAGACTGTACACTATACTTCCATAGACTATACTTTCAGCCATTTTAAACTTCCCGCCATTCTACTTCAATGTTACTTTTTCTGTGACTACAGACGCGTACGGAAGCAACTTCATTATTTTAGATATTCGCGAGCGAAGCCGCGGGTTAAAGCTAGTTTGATATAATAGAGAATACATGTGGACAAAATCATTTAACAAATGGTTTCGAAATTTAAAAAAAAAAACTGAAAAATTTTTGGCAATTTGTGTGTATATAGGTAATATAGGTGTGTATAATCGGTTTTTAAATAGTTATATTTTATTTTTACCTTGGTATAACAAGTAAACTTGCCAATCGTGAATTATAAACCGATGTAATCATCAATGCGAACACCAACAAGATAGTATAAAGCATCCTCAATGGAAACTTCATAGGAACTTGTGTGTTGATCAACGGTTGCACAATGAACATTGACACTACGGATAAAGTTTGAATGTGAATTAGGCTTTTATCAAAACCTAACCTAAAAATCAAAGGATTGGTTATGTATAGAGGCTATAAGAGAAAATACTATTTATGTTTTACTTACAAATATTTTTTAATAACTTTAAATGTAATTATCACCGCTATAATGGTCCCAATTAATGTTGCCCAGATTTTTGGTGTTAGGCCTTTGACAGGAGTTAACCAACTAACAACTTTTCTAAATCAAATAAAAACATGTAAAAATAGTTGTATCAGAATTATTTGTTATAAGAAACAATATTTTTTTACCTTGGAGCTGGAACAATGCACGAAACACAAGAAAATGCTGTTGGTTTTGAAAAGTCCGAGTAAATTATACGGTCTGGTAACGGAAATAACGCACCTTAAATAGGTTATGTTCTTGAGCTATTCAAAACCCAATTGTGGTTCAATCAATTGTATTATATACTTACTGAAACCTATATCATATTTATCAGTGACAACTCCACCCAGAACACCAGTCCCCGTCCAGTTTTCAAAAATTTCACCCCAATACTCTTCATCATTCGTAATTGTAAGAGAATAATTAAATTTTGCACTGTATTCCATTACTGCCCTAAGTTCCATTCCCATTTTTGGTTCTAATAAAACAAAAGCAAATTAAAAATTAATCCAAAACTACTTCTTAGTAAAAGTTTGGTTAGATTTTGGTTATACATTTACTAACCTATAAAACTATATGGAAGATAATCAGTAGCACCTGCACTCAAATGTCTAAACTCACTTCCAAAAAGATTCTCAACATCATGAAGTCTATCCGGATACAAATTACGATCGAATAGAAAACTTTGATTCCTCCAAAACCAATCATCCAAATGCAACCAGTTAATTGTCGAGTTTTCTTTAATAACATAAGTATAAAATCTAAATGCTTCTTTAATAGTATCACAAGTCATGAGGAGAACATCCCAGACAAACTTCAACTTATTTAATTCCTCACAATTATTTAAACTTTTGGAAATATCTAATAATTCATTAATATCCGGATGAATAATAAAATATCTTCGATGATGATAACGAATTTCGCTTTGTTTTTGAATAAAATCCTCAACATTCGAAAATGTTTCCAATGGATTAGTAGTTGATATCAAAATATTTTGGCACCTTTCACCATCTGAAAACTTCAAATTTGTTTCAGACAATAACATCCTTGGAAAATCTTGTACAGAAGATAAAAATTCATTATCATCTACAATTTCCAGCGCACAACGTTTAGAATAATTAAAATACTGATGAAAAATCATTGTTGTTATCAAGCTTAAATGCGTATTAAACGTAAAATTAGTATTTCCTTGAAGAATCATAATTATTTACACTTCAAGCACGACTGTCAAATCACAAATCACAAATAAACATCTGAATCAAAAATTCTTTGATTTATATATCATTCCTAGAAATAATTATAAAGCACTTAATTTGTAGGCGTGAGTAAAACTAAATAACGAGTACAATTTGATTGAATTGGACACCGTCCAGCGTGTTCCTCCATTGTGGTTATTAAATATCAGTTTGCGTGTCGGGTGTGAAGTGACAAAAGACGCATGAATTATGCGAATGTGTTTACCTGTGAGTTTTCGTTGTTGTGTTGTTTGCTTGTGTTTAATGAGCGCTTTGTTATTGTCACCGGTGGTTTTTGGAGTTGATGTAGTTAAGTGTTCCCGTATATCATACTAGCATGGTTAATGGTCGCTAAATAAAGACACGAATTGAACTTATAACCAACGCAAAGACAATATTAATGAATTATTGATGCGGTTGACGCTGGAAATTTTTGTTACAAGTGACGAAAGTTGAAATGAAAAGGCAGCTTGATTGTTTGTTTTCATCCACGTGCTAACAAACAACAAACTTCACAATTCAAAAATTATTTTAATTTGTTTGTTTTTATATGATTTTATTAAAATAGATATTTTACGATATTTTTGAGGCGGAAATTGAATATTTAATCATTTTTTCTGGTAAAACTTTGTTAAAATAGACGTGACTACGATGCATAACCTAAAAATTATGCTATTTTTAGTTTTGAGATATTATAACCTAATTTGTAGGTTTTTGTGATGAAAATAAATTTATTTATACAAAATTTAACGAAAAATTAGCCAAAAATTAAATATTTACTCAATTTATAGACAAAACTAACTTAAAACACATGTAATTACGCTTAATAACCTAAAAACCGTGACGTTTTAAATTTTTTGGTTATATAATAACCTAGTTTAATGTCTTTTAAAGTTTTTGCAGCAAAATTCACAATTATTATCTCAAAATATAAAGAAATAAGGCAAAAATTAAATTTTTATTAATTTTTTAGTCAAAACTACGCAAGAACGATGGTGAATATGCGACATAACCTAAAACTCATGACATTTATAGTTTTTCAATTATACTATAACCTAATTTCAAGACTTTTTGCCGTTTTTCTCAAACAATACACAATTATTCTCTCAAAATAAACTTCAATAAAAAATACAATACTTGAAACAACAATTCCCATTGCAAGCAACATAAAAGCATGCTGCACATGCTGAAACCTCAACGCTTGTAAAAATTGTTGATCCTGTGGCATGTTTAAATAATTAGGAATCATCGTATGTGTTAATAATTGTGTTGCTTCGCGTTCCCAGTAATCTATAAGTCCCGAAGCTCGACAGTGCATGATGAATTGATTCAATTTGTTTAAATACACAGAGTTTTGCCGTAAATACATAACACTATTGAATTCATAAAGATTTTCCTTCATCACTTTGTATTTTTCAACATTTTGTGGTGTGATATAATCTGCAATGGCGTAGTATCCCGATGAGAATCGTTCGATACCAAAAGCAAATTGTGCTGTGTTTGCCAAGACGTACATTTCTTCCATTGTTCTTTCCTCGAATTTAGCGTAGATTTTCTTTGACAGGGGTTTTGTATCTTTTTCTAAAGGTAGAGACATTCCTACGTTTCTTTCGAGCCATTTTATGTTACTATTTGCGAGATCATAGTTTGTTCTGATGTAGTCATATTGCCTGAAAATGATTTTTTATTAATTTAGTGTTTTAAAGTTGTTAATTTGGTTTTTATTTACAGTGGGATTACAAGTATTGAGTTTAACCATGTGTTGTAGATAACCCCGCCGAAATAACTGTTTAAAATAATACAGAAGAAGAATAATCTTGATGAAAACGAGGCGAATTGTTTTAATTTGTTTAGCGAGATTGTTTGCATGCAGAATATGGAAATCAATTCGTTAAATGTTAGTTTTTCTTGTGTTTTCTTCATGAATGATGAGTTTATTAATTTATTTATTATGACCAAGTAGAGATGCCAAAGAAAAACACTGATTCCGATTGTATGCGAGAGAAATCTCGTTGAGTTTTGAATTCCATGAACAGGGCTACATTTTAAACAAAGTTTCTGTTTATTTTTTGTAATTTGAGTGGAAATATATTGTATTTACTTACGGTCGAGCTGGTACTAAGCAAGTAATCTTTGATACCACAGTGGGAATTGTAAAATCCATCAATTTGTAACGCTCGTAGAGCTGAAATAATGAGCTGAAGCCTATGTCGTATTGTCCTTCAACAATTCCTTCCAAAATTTCTAGCCAATCAACAGCATGCAGTATATTTACATTTGCTCCTAATTTCTTGAAGAATTCATCAGCACATTTTAATTCTAGACCAGTTTTTGATGCTTTAAAATAATAAATTTTATTATTTTCTAAGTTGAATACGTAATCCATGGTAGTAATTTATAAAATATATTTATTAAAATAATTTTGTGATTTTCTTGAAACTTTCTGATGATGCCCACAGGGCGAAACATGTAAAACTTGCATACAAAATTGTAAAATCCAAGAAAATCACAAAATTATTTTAATAAATATATTTTATAAATTAAAATAAAATAATAAATGTTTGGTTTTTAAACAGAATTAATTAATTAAATGCAATTTTTAGTTGAAATTTTCATAGAGATATGTGAAAACAACAATTTTACTATTTTTGGTAAATTAGTCCATAAATCGTATTTAAAACACACCAAATGTTGTTACTCACCTATATCACTATAAGGAATATAAGAAACAGTGCCAATATTAATAGTAACATCAGTTAAATTCTCCAATCTTTCAGGAAACAGCAAAAATTGCTCATTGGACGAATATTTATTCAAATTGCCTTTTACAAACAACTTTGCTCTTGAATTCCAAACATCAATCAGGTATAATTCATTGGTATTAAAGTTTTTTCCGTATATTTCATAGTATTCATTAATCTCTGCCAATTTATCATTAGTTTTATTATTAAAAGTTAATGTAGTATTACTCGCAATATTGTCACTCGCAATTCTCTTCAAAAACACTAATTTCTCCACATATTTAAACAAGTTACTCACGAATAACTCTTCTGTCACAATTATATACTTCCGATTGTTATATCTTGCTAGTTTATTGTTCATTATTACGTTTTTCTCTACATGTTCGAAAGCTTCTCTTCCGTCAACAAGGAAAATGTCACAAGGAATATCACTGAATGCGTCCCAATAATCAGAAACAATAATAGTCGATGTATTTAATGTATGGGCAATATGCATACCAATTTGCATAATGCAATTAGCGTCTGGTAATTGTTGTTCAAGAATTAAATTGATTAAAAAGTTAAAAGTGCGAAAAGAGGAGATATTTTGAAGTAGCAACATTATTTAATATTGAATTATTTAATTTTAGAGTGTATTCTTATTAAATGAGACAAATTAGGAACAATAAATTTATTAACATAACTATTTATATAGTTTTATTAATTACGTATTGAAATGAATTAAATTCTTATCGTGCTTTTTTGCATTTTTTTGTTAATATAATTTATTATAAAGATTTCAATATTTTAATTACAAATATGTGTTAATAACTTAAGATAACACGTTGGATAACACCAAAATAATTGTTTAGAAAACATATCAAATAATTATTGTTTTTACATGAATACTCAGTTGCCTAACTCCAGACAGATACAAATCAGTTTTCAAATCTCTTGTTTTTGTAAACAAACTGTCATTAAACGTCTCAAATCAATCCAAAACTTGTACTACAAATAATTAACAACTTGTACGGATTAATTATTAGAGAGAAAACTGACATTACAATAATTTATTGTTTGTTTCACTCAGTTCAACTCTTTCCACTTAAATTGAGCGCGGTTTCGCATCTTTTTTTAACATTCACTTTATACGCCTGAGTCGATGAATCAGCTGGTAGGCATGTGCAAGCGCGTCCTTCCGTGACCGACTGTTGTGCACTTTTACGAAGATAATCAACAAAGACAGCAAAAACCACTCGAATCAAAGACACGTTCGCTATCAATTTCGATTATTCTCAGTATTCCGCATCGTTTTCGCTCATTTGCAACGATTTCGTGCGCATTCTTTTGTGTTAGAGCACATGCTTCAAGAGCACCCGCACCATGGACGACGTTCGTTCGCTGGTTCAAGAAGAAGGAAGAGAGGCACGAAATCTGCTTGCTTTCAGCATTGCAGTCGACGATAAATTAAGTAAAATCATCTTTTATTACAAACCTAACACTAACCAAACTAATAAAATGTATTTTTATAGATAAAGTTGCTCGAAAACCACCTTGTACACCAAGAATCATTGAATCTCGAAGATCTTTAAAATCCACACAAGCATTCAGATCAAGATCTGGTACAAGAGTAAGATCAGCATCAACTGGAAGAGACAAAAAGTCGGAATTACGCGCGCGGTATTGGGCCCTTTTATTCGGCAATTTACAACGTTCAGTAAGTAAAACAAACAAAATTTCACATTAAACATATTAAAATATTGATAATTTAAAGATTGGAGAGATATACAACACTGTGGAGACTCATGAGAGTGTCACCGAGTGTCAGGAAGTAACATTAGTCCTGGAAAACTATCTGCGAGACTTCAATGCACTTACTGAATGGTTCAGATTGAAATGGGACTATGAAAACACTCCTGGCCCTCAACGCCCCACATCCCTCGCGTGGGAGATCTGCAAAAGTAATCTCAACAACAAGACACCATCCGGAAAGTCAAGCCCCAACTGCACAGGCAGTGGTAGATCAAGCCCCAACACAGGTAAAATAAGCCCACGTATTTTGACGCAAAAATTACGCAGTACCACGTCTGCCCCAACAAGTCCTTTACCACTTGAAACTCCGATATTTGAAGACAAGATCTTGGATATTAATAAGTCAGATATACAGTTTTTGAATGAATCTTACTTACAAACTGAGAAACGCGATCAACCAGTTGCAGAAGCCGTTAAAATTGAAATAATTAAACCTCCGCCAAACATAATAGATTCTCCTAGTGAGGATCAAAGAACTTATGATATTATGCGCAAGACAGGCGTGCCTAGTGCTGAAAAAAGCACTAGCACCGAAGATGACTTCCCAAGGTTACCATTAAAAAAGCCTGTGACTGTAAAAATCAGTCAGGAATCACAGACGGAAGATACAGAGAAGAAACCGTCGCCTACAAAGATAAAAATTGAACCGAAAGTTACCAAACCAGCATCGCGACCGGCATATTCCGTTGCTTTAGCTAAAAGTTCATCGGCGAAAGCAGTTCTTGCCGCTAAAACCAAACCGGCGGTTTTACCAGCTGGTAAACCTCCTTTGAACACAGGTAATGGTCAGATTTCGAATAGATCTACGTTCGGGTCGAGAAATCCCATCCCTCCGAGGAGTACGCTAGCTAGAAGCAAAACAGTAGGTGATATGAAGAGTTCCAATCTGGTTGGAAGGCTTAAAGTTGAACCTAGACCACGTGTGATTGCTTCTGCCTCAGCAAATAAGGTTTCTGTGAATAAAACTGTTACCAATGTACGAAATCGTCTCTCCGTACCGAATACCAACCTAAAATCTAAAGATTATGGCAGTTCTGTTGAGACTTTAGTCAATCACAAGAACTATTCAGTTGAGAATATTGACATGACGAATTCCAGCAATAGTATTGCTAGTTCAGTGGAAACATTGAACAATGAAAACGTTAAGAATACTGCGGATGGTTGGTTTACGGTGAAATGTCGGTCTAGATTCAAAAATAATGGCAAAACGCGAAAATCTGACACAGCGCTTTCTTGGGCGACAAGGTTTCATCAAGTGAGTGCAACTGCAAGTTTACCAGCTCTTGCACTGCTCCCAGAAAACTCTGAAAAGGCTACAATTGATAAAACAGCTAAAGATAATCTCAACACGTTGAAATCTCTTAATACTTCGAATAATATGAAATCAAACGATAAAATCGAAAACAAAATTGAATCAAGGAATAAATTATACCTCAGAAGGTCACATACAACACTTTCCAGTATGGTTTATTCAAAAAATTCAGTCCAGGAAAAGAATAAAACCAATTTAAGCATTAAAAAGTCGAATGACAGGGAAAAGTACGAAGAACGCCGGAAAAAAGACCTAGATTCTGAGACAGACGATGAATCGAAGAATAAAGATACTCAGGAGGATATCGCCAGTGAGGAGGAGCATCGCCAGAAAGCTAAACAACTCACCGAAGAAGAGGAACGTCTGAATATAGAAATCGCAAAGTTACAGGGGTTGGAAATCGATGTGGATACAGAAACTGACGGGACTGAAACAGATGGAGAGTTGCAATGTGATAACGAGGATAGTGAATATCCTGTGTTGAATGTAAATCTGAATCTGAATTCGCATCAGAATGAAGATAGTGAGCTATCTTTGGAGGCTAGATATGAACCGATGTTAGCTGGGATGAGTTGGGGAGAAAGAGTTGATACTCTTGCAGCTTTAGAGGCTTTAGTCGCGCGGCATCCTGGTAGGGCTTTGGAGTTACATCAAAAGTTGTCGAATCCCTCGAGAAGATGCACGTTGTCTGAAACGTTGAAGAAATATCAAGCGAAACAGGCAAAGGCGCAACAACGCAGACAAGTTCTACAGCATGATAAAGCTGTGAAGTTGCAAGCGTTGTTAGCTAGGGTTGAAGATGTCAAAGCTGCGAAGTTGCAGTTGATTGAAGACAAGCGGAAACGCATGGAGATGAAGTTACAACGCGCTGCGCAGAATCGCAAGAAGCATTTGAAAGGAATTGTGAGGAAAGCGCATGATGAGGAGAATAAACTCAAAGAAATTGCGTTTATTAATGAGATTGAAGCACAAAATAAACGGTAATTGTTTTCACTTTAAAATTTTATCATAAAACAAATTTTTTGTTATTTTCAGACATGATTTTCTGCAATTATGTCGTGAACAACGTGATCGCGTTCAAATCATCCAAGATGATCGTAAAAACGTCAGGAAGAGAAAGCAGCTAAGGAAGCAGCTGTAGAAGAACGTCGAAAAGCTTTAGAACGTGAAAGACTCGAGCGTTTAGACCGTCTTCAAGATGAAAGACGTTTGAGAGACGAGCGTATCGGACAACAACAGCAACAACGCGAGCGTGAACGCCAAGAATTAGCCAGAGAAAAGCACGGGATCGTGAAGAACGAAAATCTGCACTGCTTGCACAAACATTAGCTACCAAAGAAGAGCTTAGTAAGAAAATATTACAAAAACAAGAAGAATCTGCACGGAGACATGAAGAAAACATGGAGCAAATTCGTCAGAAAGCGCTGGAACTTTCCATACATCGTTGTCATACTGATGATAATCAAGCGCCGAATATTACTCCGTATCCCACGCAGAAGTTCTGTACTTTATGCAATGTACTTATCACTTCCGAAGTGTATCTAGTCAGTCATATTCGTGGTAGATTACATCAGGAAACTGTTAAACAAACACTTGGTAATCAACAACTTGCCGGAGATGAATTGGAAAGTTATAATCTGCGTCAGATTGTCGATGCGCCTGCAGGTAAAGAAGATCCGAAAACTGTAGCGGCTAAAGAACGTGGAAAAACTTATAAGAAACGCAGTAAGAAGATTCGTCAGCGTATGGCTTTCAAAGCAGCTGAGTTTGAGAGTTCTCTTAAGAAGAGCGGTGCTGATAGCGCTAATAAGCGTAATCTTAATAAGAATATTAATACAATTAGTAGTATTACTAATCAACCTATGCAAGGATGGTCTGCAGCAACCAGTAGTCAACTGGATAAGCTTTTGAATGAGTTGTCGCGGATTTTGACCAAAGGGAGCGATAATGACGTGATGGTGTTTCAAAACGTGGGTGGCTTTACGATTCTGGCCAAGTTGTTGAGTCTTGGTTTTGAGACAAATTCACCAATTGCACAAAAGTAAGAGTTATGAGTGATTAAGTTGACATTTGGGTGTTTAATGTGTTTTTATTTGTTTATAGGACTTTAATTATTGCTTGCAATGTTTGGCAGTCTACAATGAAGGGAGGAGTAGCCAAAAAGTGGCTGAGTATGTCATTCTGTCGAATAAGATTGTGGCAGCTTTGGATTTGCTCAACGCAAAGTTACAGGTAGGTTTTTTGCTTGGTTTTTATTATTATAGAAAGTTATTCTGGTTGCATACAGTAAATGCAGGTTTAGTATTATTGGTGGTTATAGATAGTCACTGTAGATGTCTCTAGTGTGATTAACTTGTATTTTTTATTCTGAATTTGTTTACCGATGAAGATTTATATTTTTTTTGCGTTACTCTACACGATTTTACATATTATATTCGACGCCTCTTCATCAATCATACACGCAATACACATTTTTAACATTGAAATCAAATTTTCGCATCGCTTTGAAAGAAACACTCCTGCTTTTGTGCCATTATGTATTTTCCTCCTAATGGCACGAGGCGGAGAGGAAAAAGGCAGCGGCGGCGGCAAAGGGTGTGCCCGCTAGGGTTGGCGCGCGTGTTTTGAGGTTTTCATGGAAGTTCCGCGCGTAAGCGAAAGGGGCCATTACGGCGCGTATCCAGTTTCCTCTCTCGCCGCAGGTTTTCTCGGGGCAGGCAGGAGGTGGCGGGGCGGCGAGGGGGAATTGCATTAGTGTCCTGCTTTTAGTCGCGGTGAGTGACAAATGCTTCTTCTTTATGTGTAAAATGAATGAATGTCGGCTCTCCATATGACGGCGCAGATGACGACGCCGACGGTGATCCATGCAAAGTATTCGCGGCGAAAATATCTCGAAATTTATCAGCAGATGAAGGATGGCGCAGCGGCGGTTATATTCTTGCGCCAGCTGCCATTGTTTGCATTTTTTACTCGTTTCGGAAAAAAAACTGGTTTTCGGGGATTTCCTGCTGGAATTTCGGCCAAATTTGTGTGCATTTTATTCAATCACTTGGAAGGCCGAATTCATGATGAATATTCATTCCAATGAAACGGATTATGTAGGCGAATGCAGATTGTGCAGCGATTTGCACAAAATCCATTTATCAACAGACGAAACATTTGATTTCAATCGGTTTTATATGTTTCTTGCACGCTACATTAATCATTTGGTCCGAATGTAAATCTCCGCGATGCAATATTTTTAGTTTTCGGATTGGTTAGATTGGAATTTGAATTATCATCAAATTTTATGTTAGGAGGCGCAGCGGATCAATATAGAAGGATATTCGCGGAGTTTACTTGTGCGCTGCCGCCATATTTGAAGCCCTCTGCGGTCGAAGTGGCGGCGGCTTCGGTCGGAAAGAAACTGTATACGTTTATTTGCATTCGCAGGATATAGGCGATTCGGTGGATTCGCCGCCCTCGGATCCCCTATGTACGGCGCTGATGCAGCTGCTAACGATGATCCTGCGCAACGCGCCCGACGATATCGCCGCCAACCGTATGCAGGATTTCGTTAGGTAAGTGATTTTATTATTTACTTTGCGCCACAAAGAATGGAATTCGCAGAAAGCCTATAAACTGCTTTTAGACGTTTGCCTACTTTCGGGCTATAATAATCCTTTTATAGTTTATTTTGCGCAAAAAGGGGGAAGAAATGATTTTTGCGGGGCGTAGAAATAGATATTTGGATGTTTTTAAGTAAAAATTGGCCAGAAAATAGGGTAAAATAGAGGTTATATTTTCGTTTCGTTGAATATTTTCGCGAAATTTGTACAATTCGGTTGGTTTTTATACTTTTTATTAATTTCTGCTGTGAAACGACAACAAATATTTTCATTTCTAGCAATTATGATCTGGAATATATTTAATTCTGGTAGTAAAACTTGTTAAAAGTTTTTTTACCTATGAGAAAGTAATGAAATAGTCAACTTTGCATCATTTCTTCAAGTGTTGCCGTAGATTTTGTACAAAAAGAGAAATTTACAAGGGAAAACAATATTTGTTTCGTGTTTTGTGCAAATAAATGAATTTGAAAGCGAAACTTCATAGAAAATGTATGAAATTACAAGAAGTAACTGTGAATATAGACAAATGCTCAATCCCAGGTGTAACGTGATAAAATGTTATAAGGTAAACTACTTACATTTTGTATTTTTGACAACTCAATTGAACTTCTTATTTAAATTTGGTCCAATTTAATATATTTCGACTTGTTTCCTAAAAATTTATGTCACGAAATAACACAAAAACTGTTTTCAATGAAATTTAACATATTTTTAAATATTCCATGACAGTTTTTTTTTAAATCAGTCATAATGCTTAGAAACCTATGTACCAGTTTCAATATAAGTTTATTCGTAGCATACGAGTAAGCATAACACGCATAATGAAACGAGCGAATTGAATTGAATATGCATTGGAATAAGCTATGACGGAATGGGGGATGGAGGAGCGTTTGAATAATTCAAAGGGGCGCATCCAGGGCCCCTGTTAGGACTCGCTGCTCACTTGCCAGCGACAGCACACCTCATGGGCATGGGGTGCTTTTAAACATATGTATATCATGACATAAGGTCATGTTGCTGTTTTTATTCCGGGCGTTTTTAACTTCGTTTCGACTGCTTTTTTATTTTTAAAAATTTCAAATTACATTACTTCATACTTTCAGTACTAAATCATACTTAATCACAAAAAATAAGTAAAATTTTCTTTATAAATTAATATCTAAGTTTAGCGAAATAAAATGCAAAGGGGGTTACACTACACTTGTCGCTCACTCCTTGTGTTTGGGTAACTGCTATACGATTTCGAATTGACATCTGCAAACAATGATAATCCCTGATTATTTTACGTTGATAGCCCACAGCTCGGCATGATGTTTCAATCAGGAACTAGTTTATAATTCATTTTCATGCTGTTGCTGCTGCTCTTTTCCTCCTCCTTCTCCGCCGCCCTAAAACTTGATTATTTGCGCAACCCTCGATGAACATGCATGATTGCTCGATTCATCGCGCGACATAAAAACCTTCTCGCCGGCTACCAGCTTGGACTTTGTGTCGCGATATTTGTTTACGATTTACGTGTGAACTATTCCGACGCGGCGTTCGAAGCCCTCTTCAACCATCGAACATCTTGTACGTGCGCACTTAAGACTCGGCTCGAGTGTGCGTCTTCTGAGAAACTGAAACGCCGTGGAGCAGAGCGCGAGATTGCCGTAATCGGTTGTTCACCTTTTTAAAGTGTCTCTCCAGAGCAACAGCAGCAGCAGCACAGCCGCCATTCGTGCAGCCGAACGAAACGCTACTTCAATACGCCTTTCTTCTTAAACAAGCACTGAAATAAAGAATAAAATATTCTTGTGTCTCCCGAATCAAATTCTATATTATGTCACTATCGACTAAAATCGACTGACTGTCAGTCGGTTACAGTATACTACAATTAAGCGATTAATAATAATTGCGCCTGGCATTAAGTAAATATTTGCGCTCTGGCCGTGACAAGTGAACGAATTAACATATCAAGTGGACGGCGGAGTGAAGGCGACGGGGAAGGCACGATACTCTGCGCGACGCTGCCGATAGATTAAAGAATAATAAAGAAGCATTGTGTTGACAGGAATTGACGCGAATTATGCCGTGTATGCATGAGGAAGCTCGGAATTGAATGCGCGTCAATGCGTGCACGCGCGTTTTATTCCGAGGGTCCGAAATTGTAATGACAAGTGTCACAACCACTGTGTGTGACGCCGCATTGAAATACGAGTAATATCAGCAAGGAGTAATCTAACGTGTAATTTTTTTCGACGTTCGACGCTCGGAAATGGGAAATTATTGCTTTTTCTGTTGGATTAATTCAATCAATCTTTTTCTCATTACTGGGCATTTTATTGCGTTCATCGAAGAACAAAAAATAACCAAATATTAGGATATAAGTAAATATTCACGGTTATTTTTTGCAATTTCATATTTTTTAGGAAATTTCGTATATTTTGAAGAATTTAAATGAATTTTGACTAGAAAATGCATAAAATACGAAGAAAAATATTGTTTTCTTTAGTAAATTTCACTTTTTATACAAAATCTACTGCAACTTTTGAAGAAATGATGCAAATTTGACTTTTTCATTAATTTCTCGTAGATAAAAAAACGTTAAAACTATTTTATGTGCAATAAACGACATAGTCCTGTCAAAAAACAATATTTTTCCAAAAAGAACTAAATTTTGCTTTGATAATCTTGAATTGATAGCCAAATAATCCCTTTGATTAATATTTAATTGACTCATATCAATATGCCACGATGGCATGTTGTCTGCACTGGTATCATCCCTCCAGCCCTCCAGTCTTTGACGATGCGATGCCCCGACTGCGATATGGGCTGTTTGGTGGGTTTTATTCCTTGCGGTCCTTGGAGACTAGCTGCTATCTGCGCACATTTAAAACTCATACATCACATGTGAAGCCGGTGCGTGCACCTTTCGAGTGGCGGGTTCCGGGCCCCGCAAACGCAAACACGACGCGCAGAGACAATCTGGCGCGCCAGATGTGCATCTGATGGACAGATAAGGGCGTGCGGTGGCTCGCGCCGTGCGCCCTTGTCCTTGCACGCCGCGTCACGGCTCATCCGACACGGCTAGTTACCGCCGCATTATTATTATTACCACCACCACATCTATATCTACATCTCGTGTCATTATCATCTGGGCATGTTACACTATTTATTACTGGACATGGAGTGGATTAATGTTTTGTTGGGTTTGGATTGGTGGAGAAAAGAAAAATAAGTAATTTTATTGAAAACAGACGCATCTATATTATAAAAATGAATCGGAAAATATGTTGGTAAGCGCATAACTCAATAACGCTTAGACCAATTTGGCCAATTCTTTTTTAAATGTTTGTTAAAGTCCAAGGATGGTTTTTACAGCGAGAAAAATTCGAATTAAAATTTCTTCGTTTCTCTCGCCTCAAATTGAAAAATAAAAATTGCTCCAAATGTTTTTTATAGGCATGAACCATACCTAATCAAATCTGCGCAATTTTCTTACACCATAAAAAAAATCGAAGGCGTTACATTAAGTAATACAATAATCCGTAGTCCATAATCGGTTCGAGCTCGACCCCTCTCGCAGTCCATTTAAATTTGATATATTCGTTTTAAAGTAACCCATATGTTAGCATAACAGCGCGCAACCCTTGCATACATTTGAGGGGTCCTGCATAATTATATTCAATAAACCCCGCTGCATATTCACGTCACGTACCATTATGAGAACTCTATTTGTCGCATTAGCACAGCACCACGCACAGGTTTCCTTATTCCTCGCTCCGCATTCGGAAAGCGCTATTTTTGCGTATCAAAAATGAAAATTTAAATATAATTATAGCGCGAATGCATGAAACATGCGCCGTGCAAGCAAACACATGATAATATTTGCTCAAATCTACATAGATTATAAATTATATTCCCTTCGGTGCACTACTTGCAGCATTTCCATGCGGCCGGCGCACGTATGAAAGCCATAAACGCTCCGAGTGCTGAATTCGCATTTTCAAACATCCAGCATCCGCGGAGAGTAGGTACGCGGACGTGAGCAGAGCGCACAGCGCAGAGTGAACTGCGAATGGCGAAGTTCAAGTGCTTTCCTCATTTCGCATGCATACTGAAAACGCGCGCGCACAAAAAAACGCATAAAACGATCAAATTATGGAAAGTACATTCTCTTAGCTAGCTCTGGGTAGTGATTTTCATTTATTTCATACCATATCTACGTTCTGATATGAATATTTTCATATCATAACCAAAAGTCATGAAGAAAATCATCAATAAATAACGTCTTAAAGTTTTTATTAATTTTTTGTTCCTACTTTATCGATATTAATAGAAAATAATATTTTTACTATAAAATAGCACAAAAAGCTTTCTACACCATATTTTTGATTGTTTTAGTCGAATATTCAGTCTATATCTTTAATAAGTTTATACGTTCCCCCTGAAATTAGAAATTTCTACTTTTGGCACAATCTAATTAACAAAACACTCGAGTTTTGGGCTCGGAGTTTGTGATTGGCGAAAAGGTGTACACACCTAAGTGCTGCTCATCAGAAGCACGATGGTTGGCAAACAATGGAAATCTAGTTGGCAAGTCTTTACGAGGACTTTACAAGCAACAAGCGCGCACCTTCGGCTCGCGTGCGCCTTCTCACCTCTCTCCTCCAACCAACGAAGAACCAGTTGGTTGGTTGGCCCGAAAAGTATGTGCCCGCGCGGCGCGTTCGTTTCTCGCTTCCATGTTTCCATGTTCGTGTTTCGTGTATGCACAACGAGATTACAAGTCTTGATTTTATAATGAAGTTTGCCTCACTTCGCTCCAGGTTTCGAGGTTGGCTCCGCGGCGCGCCCGCCTCTCGCCACGGCTACGGCTAATGTTTTTGTTTATCTTTGCCGCTTCGCACTTATTTGTATCTTAGTTATATTCGGCTCGGTTACTTACCGCCGCCGCCGTTTCCATTAGAGTGGGTGTAACCCGGAGTTTTGCGCGCGGCGCAAGGTAAACTAGCCGAATTGATATTAAAACCGTTTTTGGCCCTCGCTGCGCGCCTGTTTATATATAATTATCATTTTAAATTAAAATCGACGCATTAAAATTAATTTCGCTGTTTGACATGAAATCTATATACACATCCAGAGGAAATTCACATCAACCCGATCCTTGGATGTTTATGTAGCGGTGGTAATCGTACACCGTAAGACCTTGTCGTTTGACGGACGATGATTATTTAGTTAACCTATATTGTGATGCACAAACATCAAGTTTTTGTCTGTTTTGGCGGGGCTTTGATGCCGAAAAGGCAACCGGAATGCATCATGCGTGCGTGTCTATGTGTATATACGCAGTTTCCGAAGGGATGACTTTCCCGGCGTGCACTTGTGAAATAGGATACTTTGGTACAGCGGGGTTGAGCATGCCTTGTTGTGAGCAGCGAGGAGCGGACACCGTAAACACACGAATATTACACGTACAGAGAGCAAACGCGCACTGCAATCATATACTGAATGTTATTTAATATTAACATAACACCAGTGAAATGTTACATCAACAAACGTGGGGTATTGAAATTGAAAACGCATGCCAGATGCGGATTATTTAAAATGTTTAATTTTATGATGATAAAAATTAAACAACCTGTATATAGTGGAGAGAAAATGTTTGCACAGATTGTTGTTTGTGTGGGCCGAGGCACGTTTGTCGAGCACTCGACATGTCGACCGGATGGCAAAGGTAAAGGTGTACAACTGCTTTTCGGAATGGTCAAAGTTTATAAGCTCATTTTTTTCCCAGAATTTTGGAAAAAATGTTTTAATTTATTTTTCTACTTTTTCCACTGTTTCGAGACACAAAAAGTAATAATTTTATCATGGGCGGCTGGAATCGTGACTAAAGTACTTTAGTCACTGGGTGGAGCTTCCGTATGTGCGCGCATTTACCCATGGTCGAAGTTTTAAAATATAAAGTTCAAATACAAAAACTAAACGTGGAAATAAAGTGGAAGTAGAAAAAGCGTAAGCATCACATCGCTAAATGTTGTTAAAGTGTCATTTATCGCACTTGTTACTTAATAGATAACTATTTAACTCTAAATTCGACTGTTTATTCTAATAAATCATGTGAGGATATGATGATGTGGTGATTTATGTTTACATCCGAAAAATATTGTTTGTAATTGTGCACATTAGTGGCCCCTGCGTCGATGGCAAAAGATTCGTTAGCTAATCAAATAGCGTCAGCTATAATAATCGCCGATACTCTAATATCAATTAATTCACGCATCGCGAGGCAGCGCAAACACGTCGAGAGCGCTTTCCGGCCTCGTCGCGAATTTCTGCAATATATTTGCCTGCTGCGCGCGGGGTGGTGCAGCAATCCAACCTGGTGGTGCACGTTTGCGTGCGTTAAGAAGCGCATTGGCTTCCGTCGAATCCGACGCGCGTCAGTGCCCTTTCTAGTTGGCGTCGTGTTTGCACAGAGGGTCCTCTCCCGCACTCTAAAACTTCACTCTAGCCACCCCCAAAAAACGACATGTTGCGAAAATCCACTGTGAAGTCCGTCAGATGCAAGCGCCCAGTGTTTATTCTCCTGCAGTTGTATACTATGGGACATGACATCTGTGATTGTCCTTGGATACTTCTTACATGATATTCATCAACACGTTTCTCGCGAATTTTTCGATTGTGGTCTTTGCGTTTGGCGAGTTAGGCAATCGGCTAATGGGCCCCAACTGCGATGTGCGTTATGAATTCGATTAGAACGCCGGCGGACGCAGCGCCGCGCCCATTCATCACAATTACCGCCGACGCCGACGCCTGTTTTCGCCGCACATGCACATTAATATAAACGACCACTACAACTCAAACGGTTGTACCGGGAGTCACTTGAATCATTCCGCCGCAATCCGAATGAATGTGTGTGCAAGCAACGTGCGTTTTCGGATCGAAAACTTTTCCCAAACCACTTAACATTGCCAGGCGCGCCAAGACCACGAGTAACTGCTTGATAAAAATATGATTTACGATTTTTGGGAGGCCCGAAAAAAAACTTCCGATACTTGAGAAACCTTTGGCTAAAGTGTAGATATGTAACAGCAGCAGCAAAAAATTGAGCTGTTTTCAAGCTGTATCTTCCTCACCACTTCACCCGGGGTCTCCATAATCACCCATAGCTAGTTAGCTCCACATGACACCCCCTGTCGCGATTATCCCCGGCATGTGCGGCCGCTCGCACACACCTCTTCTTTATCTGATTAGCTTAGCACCATCCCGGGGCGCTTGGTAAACACGCCGCGTAGATGTACTCGAGTGCGCACATAATGCGCGCGGAATTAAGATTAATATTTCCCAAATGATTGCGATTGCCACCACACACTTTTTTTTCGGCTCTCAGTTTATTACATTTGAGACCATGTTTTTGTTTCTTGCAGCTTCGCCGTGTGTTTGGGCGTCGTGGAACAGCTCTCCAAGTGTTGTTTGGCGGTGCGTAGCGCCGTACATGACATTCCTGCTGCCTGTGCGTTCCTGTTGGCTGCCTTGGAGTTTCTGGCAGCTTTGGCGGACCACTGTCCAGAGGAATCAGACCCTACACATTTGGTAAACACCAAAATCAAAAATTTATTTTTTCTCTAAAAAACAACAAAAATTTTGTTTTTTTAAATATTTAGGTTGGTACTTTACATTGTACTGAATTAATGGGAGCTGTGTCGATGTTGTATGGTACTCTCCTGCCGCCGGATTCCGCGCCGAGGATCGAAGGCCAATCGCCGCCGGTGATTCCGGCGTCTTGTTTGAATCTGGCGATTGCGACGTTCAAGTTTTTGCGGCGCGTCGCCGAACTGGATCTGAACAAATTTCAGGTGGGTGGTTTAGAAATTATTGTGTGCTACCGCAAAGTATGACATCAAATCAAATAATCAATAAAAGAAAGCCGAGCGGAGCGGTTGGGTTGCATTGATTAAAGTTGGGGTTGTTAGTTAACTTGGGCGTGAGAAGCGCGGCGGACAAGTCTCCTGGGTAAAGACGCGTGGCATCCAACTTACAGTTGACGTTCCCTGGAGATTGATATGTGTACTAAACAAATATCCCTTGCAAATGGTAGTAGAATAAGAATAATAATAATAATAAAAAGTTTGATTTATTAATGTTTCGCGCTGGTTTATGACAAACTCCGTATAACGGCGAAATTTGTACAAATTCTCTGATTAACGATGAAAAATATTTTTATTTCTAGCAATTATGACCTAGAATATTTTTTCAAAGACATGACAGCGATGAAGTCAAATTGGCACAGTTTCTTCAAAAGATGCAGTAGATTTTGTACAAAAAATGAAATTTACAAAAGAAAACAATATTTTTCTTCGTATTTTATACATTTTCCAGGTAAAATTCATTTAAATTCTTCAAAAAATGTGAAATTTAATAGAAAATTGAAAAAAAATACAAGAAATAACCGTGAATATTAGGTTAAATATTAAATTGATGCCTAAGCAAGTAAAATCTGAGTAAAAGTTGATTTTATTAAAGTTTTGCGCTGATTCAGACCTCTAAAAATTTCAATTTTGAATTTTTACATAAAATTCCGATCATGATTGAACCGCCAGCACCCGACTTTCACGTTCAATATTTGTGTTTAAATGTTATTTGAATTGTGCGCATTGGGCGGGTTGTGGATGATGATGATGATGCGCCCTTGTTTGCGTATCAACTTGAACCAGCGCCGACGAATCTCCAGGCAGGCAGTTACTATAATTGAATCATTTTGCGCGCTCGCGATTTGAAATTAGCTTTGTAGTTTGTGTGCGCAGTTAATTCGGTAAACTCGCCCCGGCGCACCATTATATCATATCCATCTCCCGGCTGTTGTGTGCGCGAGTGTATGAGGAGAGAGGAGTATGCTCGACAAGCCGACGATTGTTCTGTAAATAAGTCGCCGGCAATTGGATATTACGCCAACCTCAAACAAAACAGATCCGCCGCGGAAAGTTCAATTAATTTCGGTGTTTTCAGGACGCGCTCGGCGCCGAGGGCATCTCGCTGCAGTTTCGTCACATCGCCAGTCATCTGATTTGGTGTTGCACCTCGCCGACGCTGGCGATCCCGACGAACGCCAGTAAGGAGTCGATTGCGGCCGCTTCGTCCACGCAGTGTCACGATAATCTGCTGCACCAGGTCATACACGTCGCTGGGTACTTTGCCGTGGAGAATTATGAAAATCAGGTGGGTGGTTTGTTGTTTTTATTTAGTTTTTAGTGGTATTGCACAGATTTAAACATGGGATTTGATTTTTGTTGTTTTTGGTTGTGATGTTGATGCTTATTTTATTCTCGGTCGCGTGTTGCGTTTTGTCCGAGCATGCGCTCGCATTTGTCGCACGGATTTGAGGAGCGCGCACCTCGCCGTGTGTCCGCGCGCGCATTGTGGATGGTCGGTGGCGCCGTGTTATCTTAATGACGGCGCGACTCCAGGAATGCGGCCTCGTCCGAATGCGACGCTCGAATGCGATAAAAACAACGCTTCGCCGCGGCCATTTGATATATTCCAGCCGTGCGCGCATCACGGCCGCATCACTGCTTCATTCGTCGTTGGCGTGCTTGTTTTGCTGCGCGGTGTGCACTTCGACATTGTGTGTGCGGACGAATTTAAACGGAAGACGAGAGGCTAATCAACGCGAAGGCGTCGCGTCGCCTGCGATTTAGTACCTTTTTTTTCATAGGGGAAGGTTGGGATATATAGATACAGTGAAATTTGTACAACTTGGTTGGTTTTATTAATTTTCTTTGGGTAACGATGAAAAATATTTTAATTTCTTGCAATTATGAGCTAGAATATTTTTTCAAAGACATGACATCGATGGTAACATTTGAAATATTGTTGTAATTATGATCTTAACATCTCTATAAATTGCAATGCAAATTTCTATAAATTTAGCACGATTTTTCAGCTAATTTGTTGGGGTACACAAGCAGTTACTAGGAAATCATTTAAACATAAGACAAGTGAATTCAACATCGCGACGCGAAATTCATATTTAGGTTTTAGGAAATATTTTCCGACTAAAATAATTCAGTTTATAACCAGCTTACAAGTGATTACACAGATGCCAATCCACGTAAAACATCAATATTTGGTAATTTTTTGTTCATCACTTCACTATAAGTTGATACAAATTAATTTTGCAGCAATATTACGCTCAAATTAAATCTAGAAAACGAGAAAAGTTTTTAAAAATGCATTTTTGCTGCTTTCACCATTACAAATTGACAAAAAGATGTGATTTGGTAAAAAAAGTAACAAAAAAATCATTATAATGCGTATTGACCAACCTTTCATTACGAAGTAAAAACCATATTTATCTATAGACATCTTTGACATGAAATTTTTCTGTGTTTTCTCATTTTCTGCCGATTTGATGCACAATAACCCATTTCAAATGCAATATTTAATTACTTCAAGTAACAGTGTTCGCGACAAAACGATGCAATCTAATCACCTTGTCGAATCTCCGAAACAGCGCCTCGTGACTTATTAATAAACTTGGAAGTGCCGCTTGCTCACCTTCCACCGCTACGTGCGTGCCGCATGATTAATACCGCGCTGAATAAAACATTTCCATAAATATGAGAGAAAAAACTTTATGTGCCGTAATTCTGATTATCAGCACGCCGGAATCAGTACGCTCGCTCAATTTCGAAAATGAATTACACTTTCAGTACAAATTTAAGTAAATCATTATAGTCAAGTAAGTGCTACAATAAGCGTGTTAATAAGCATCTTTGTGTTTTGTTTCTGCTGCTTACAGATGTTGCTGGTGAGCGGCCAACCTCCGTCGGTATTGCAACAGTTGTATTCATTGCCGATGCCGTACTTTTCGGTTGAGGCTTTGTCTGTTATACTGTATCCGACTTTATTGGCCTGCACCATTGGCAATGCGCATACTACTGCAATATTAAAGCAAGAATTATCATACGAGGTAAAAATATTCACTTTTTTCCATTTTTAAATAATTTTATAAGAAATAAAACATTTTATGTGATTTTTAACAGATTTTGGAGGAGTTTAGACAGTCAGATGTTGGTAAGGATAATCGTCTGGTGAAACTCTTGAAACATCATTAAACGTCCCTTTGTATTCACATTGCAATAATTAATATTTCAAGATCCATAGATCTATATTTTTTATATACACTTAGATACTCAAAGTATTACTCATCTAATCACTAAATACTTAAGCCTAGTATTTATCCGGCGTTTAGCATCGACGCGCGCAAATAAATCACAAATTAATCTTGTTTTACTTAAGACTAATTAACGGCGCGACGCGCGCACGTCTACATTAACGCATCGCGGCGTTAAGATATCTCGCCGACTTGAGTGAATTATGCGCATCCGATTTGTGCAATTTACCAGCGTGCCGTCTAAGCACACAGCGCACGCGACACAAATCACACATTACACAATAAATTGATTTCGAGTGAGAATTTATTATTTACATTAACATACCAGCAATATATATTTTTTCGTCGATTTTGTGATGTATGCAGCTGAGATTTAGTTATTTAGTTATATAATAACTATGTGATTTTTGGCAATATAAATAAATTGTATGTATTCACACCAAAACTGGTATATTAAGGATCAAGTGCGCTAAGTGGCACTTTAACCACGTTTAGCGATTATTTCTACTTTTACTTTATTTCCACGTTTAAAAAATGCGCAAAGGCAAGCTTCACCCCGTGACTAAAGTACTTTAGTCATGGTTTTGGCCATCCCGTGATTAAAATACACTTTTCATGTCTCGAAACCGTGGAAATAGAAAAAGAAATTTTATTGTGTTTTGAAAAATGCACGAATTTAGTTAAACGCACGACTCACATTTGTGAGCGTCCTGAGAGATGTGGAGACAGAGGACACATTTAGTCTGGGCCCTTTCGAAATAGTAAAATAACAGAGGGTGGTTTTTCGGGGAGCAGATTAACACAAGCACTTAGCGCTAAGAGCATGGGGGATCCGCGTCCCTCGTTTTCCTTCCGCGTGTGCAGTATTGCTTTCAGCTCGCAACTGTACACACATTTTTCTCTGCCTTTCTCGACGCTTTTACTATTACATGTATGAGTACACGTATGAACATTGAGCAAAGAGGAAAATTCAGCCGACTGGAGTGAATTTATGTACTATTTTGAATTTAAATATACCAAAACAGGTTTAAAAGAGTAAAATTTAAACGAATACCATGAAAAATGATGATTGTGCGGTGATTGTGGATGAAATTGTCCGGAAATTAAATTTTTTGACAGTTTGATTTATAGAAGTGCGTTGGAATCGATTGACTATTTTCCAATTTAAGCACAAAATATGAAATTCAAAGAGGACGTGAATGACGAATGATAAAATAGAAAACGAAAAATGTCGAATAATTTTTTCCGCCGTTCGTGGAAAGGTAAATAAACGTCAAATATTTTTTAGTTTTTTTTTATTTTTTCGCCCGACGCGCTGAATATTTTGTTTGGCGTGGTGAATTTTTTGCACTTAACAGTCGGAATTACCTTTGCTTTGCAATTTTAGAAATAACAAACGCTTCGTGTGAGTTTCCATATTTGTTGGTCTATGCAATGTTGGTATTATGCTACACGCATTTGGTTTCCGCCGCAAACAAATAAACAATGCGCGAATAGGCGAATATTTCGAAATTTCAAACATTTGTTGATTTTCGACATTCTTTCGCCGACTTTCTTACTGTTATTATTTCGGGGTGAGTTATTATCACGTACCAGGAACCCTTTGTCGGCCAATTAAGCTCCGGCGGAGTTTTGCGTTGAATCATGTATGTAATATACACGCTAGTGACAATGCCCGGGGACGCATTAGTACCTGCGTTACGTCACTGCAATCGATATCTCATCGCGGTAAAAGGGTAGAAACGCCGCGATCCACGGAACGCACCGAAAGATACATTGCACAAAACACAGGCTCGGACTACGCAATTAAAAACTACTCACAGAAATTTATGTTTACGTTGAGTATTTTAATTTGAATTATTATTCTACTCAGAGCTCCATTTACAATTTCAACATGAGTTTATTACGTTTAAAGTTCCGAGAGCTTTTCGGGGTTTTTCATTAAGGGACTCACATATGCGACGAATTCGTAAATCTAATCTGCGCGTGCATGAATCTCGAGGTGAAAAGGTTGTTAAACTTGGTTATGTTTAAATTTACGTGGGTGCTAGGTATGAATGTAAAAAGATGGAGTCTAGCGCGCTAGTGCACTCCTGTGTTTGACGTCAGAATTGGGGGGCGGCAGGCAATATGTGTAATGGATAGCGGGCGGCGGTGCGAGGGTGGAGCGGGTTGGTGGAGGGTGCAAACCGCAGCGGCGCGCCGAGAGCTTTCTCTTTTCGCTTCTTCGTGTGCGTTCCTCTTTTCGCCTCATTTTGCTATCGAATGTATGGCTGTATATTATTTTTGGAAAGGTGTAGAGTACGAGTAAGAATGTAAATTTTAAAAATTCTCAATTTTGGGTTTTTTGATTATTTTTTAAAATATTGGTAGTTTTATTATTATTTTTAAATTTTTTAAGGAAAACATTGTTAAATTTTAAGGCATTTACTTATCTTTTGCTTTAGTGTTTCTTTTGGGTCACAAATTTTAAGTGAGGTAACCTAATGAAATCCTAATAAAATCCGTATTGCTTTTAAAAAGATTTCCCGGCGGGATTCTCTCGCTGAAATAAAAAATCACGAATTCTTTAAGATATCAAAAATTTATCTAAAAATTCAAAATTTTTGTTTTAAATTATTATTATTAATTTTAATGACCACATAAACAACTCAAACTCAAACTGTTTCCTTCCTGTGACATAAATTACAACCGGGATTAATGGTGAGAACTCAGGTGTTCAATAACTTTGACCACCTGCAAATATCTCTTCGGTAATGAATTGACTGCCACCCTCATGAATTCCTACCTCTAAGACCTTTAAAACAAAAATTTAAATTTTTCTTACTGTTTTAGTATTCAGTTGTAGTTAATTGTAAAGAAATAAAAGTCCACGTGGTAGTCATCGATCGGATGTGAATTTGTGAGCGGTTCCGAAAGCGTGAGAAACCTCAAGCCCCGCACTTGTTCATTAATGTACGTTACCTATACCTACTTTTAAGTTCTCGGTGTTCTTCAAGTTCCTGTGAAACACTTGTTTTCTAACTAGTGCTTTCTTGAGAGTACTTACCTAGTTGATATTCGAACGTTTTAACATTTTTAACGTTTTTCACATTTTGACGTCTTGGAACTGGAGACATGTCAGGTTGTAACTTCCGATTGTAATTGGAATTGCATGCGGGTTCGATTCTACTTTGCGTTGCACTTGTTTTTACTGGTTTTATGTGTGACTACGAGTACTTAACAGTTAAAAATTTACATTGGGAATTATGTGGAAAGGAAATAACTTGAAACAAAGTTGAAAATTACATTTTAATGTGGAAAATGTACAATAACGGCTTTGGATTTGTATTTTTTGTGTTTGACAAGAGATGGCGCTAGCGATCATGCTGATAGTGACGTAAACTGGTCAAGTGAGGTTATATGTTACGTGATTTATAATTAGAATTATAAATAAGACCAATTTTTGATTGATTCGCAGTTGATTAAGAAAATATGGAATATTGCGTCTTAATGAAGCAAAAAACAAAATAATTGACGAAGGATGATGATTTTTTATATTTAATTTAACCCATAGTCTTTTAAAAATTAATTCAAAGTCAGGGTGGTATTGTACAACTGCAATTTGCATCGCCACGTGCCGACGATTTAGTGTGCAATCATGTATCATCATCGATTACGCACTTTCTAAGCACCATTCACGTGTGAACTTTAGATAAAAATCATCACAATTTGTTGCTCTTATCTCTCACACATCACGCATCAACACTGCATCAAAACTGAATCAAAAATCACCGCCAAATTTACAATCATAACAAATTACGCACTGCACCAATATGAATACGTAGTAAATAATCAAATTGTGAATTTATAATAATCCCGAATATTTTGATTATTTATCATAGTCGTATCTATATGCACTGCGTGCACACACAATAAATATCGAAAATGAGTTGCATTTCATTGCGCCGCACTCGGATTGTATCTATTAGTAGTCTCATGAATTCATGAATAAATAGATGCAATAAGCGAGAGTGATTTTTCTAAACGTCATGTCCGCCGCCGGATTATGCGCGGTTACGCATTGTGGATTATTAGTCAGTTGAAACGTTTCGATTACGAGAATTAATCGAACATATGTGCCTACTGAATATCAATATATGTACAAATAAATAATAGTACATAATGCAAACACATTTTCTTTGCCAAGTTTTTGCAGTCATATAAAAATAGGAGTAAAAATCGAAAATGTGAAATGTGAAATATAAATGCACCTCGGAGAGGCGCAACAGTGAGGTCTTCAACCTGATAAACTCGACGAAGAAAAATTTAATCTACTAATGCATTCATGTTCAAAGCTAGGGGAAAAAGGGGAGAGGAGGTGACTTGGTCGTAGGGTTAACAATTTTGTATACGAGACGATTATTTCAACAAGTATTCAAAAGAAAATTGATATTTTTGCTTAAAAATATAGAAAACTGTATTTTTATGCTTAAATAGCTGAATTTTGAGGTTAGTTTAATGTCTAAGTGACAACCACATCAAAATACTAACCTAAAAATTTGTTTTGGTGAGTTTTGAGGTTAGTTTGACGTCAAAATTTCAAACTATGTCAAAATTTTCACTTGAAACGCTTGTTTTGTGTGTTATTACCTATGATTATTTTGGCTCTATTATAGCAAAATGAACTGCTATATTGCCGATAATGAATAAACCACAAAACAAGTAAACACTTTTACTCTAAATTTGCTAATTATTTTGCTGTCAATATGCCAAAAATGTCAAAATTCTAACCTAAAATTCTATTTTGTTAAATTTTGAGGTTAATTTTATGTCAAAATGACAACCATATCAAAATTCCAACTCTAAATCTTGTTTCCTTTAATTTTAAGGTTAGTTTGTTGTCAAAATGTCAAAATTCCAACCAAAAACTCCGATTTTGTGTGTTATGATGATGTTTTTGGCTCAATTATAGCAATCTGAACTGCTATGATGCTGATAATGAATAAAACACAAAACATATAAACACTCCTACCCCAATACTCCCGCTTACCATTGTATTCGCATCGTCGTCGCGCGCAATGGGCAGGAATGTGCAAATCGCAATAGATTAGAGTGCAATCGTCTATTGTGCGCCGCGTGGAATTGAAAATCTATATCGTGATTACACTTGTCGCATAATAGCCACCAATACAGCTTTCAGGGGAGGCCGGGGACATACAAAAAGTGTCCCCTGTAATCAGCACAGCGAGTGCGCTACCCAGCGCACCTCCTCCACGACAATCCAACAATGGAACAGTTGTCATCAGCGCAAATTTTCACCCTCGCGTAATTCTTACGGGTATTCGTGATGATTAAAAGTTGATCGAAACAATCACTATTCATACGCATGGAAAAGTAAGATTTTTGTATGAATGAAAGATTGAATCATCATCTGAATGTTGGCAAAGGTCATAACATCCTGCA